CTTGAAAGTTCTACCTCATTCATTTATTATGAAAATTTGAATTCCCCTATAGTGATCATTTAAGCTTAGGGGCTCAGGGGTCAGGCACTAAAACCCTATAGGGACCACTTGAATTTTACCTCTAGAGGGGCTTTTTTCTCCTAACCCTGTAGTGACCACTCTGACGTTCCTAAGACCACGGTCCTTTCTTAGGATCGCCAGAGTGGTCCCTATAGGGGGAACCTTAGGGACCCTTGAAGGATTCCTCTAGGGAGCACTTTACCTATCCCTATAGGGGCCACTTAAATTAAAAAAAAGTGGTCCCTATAGGGGTTTTGTCAGTTAGTCCCTATAGAGGTCATACTAGTCGATAATTTTTATGGATTCTATGCGAAGAAAGCATTTTCCATGCGAAACAATAAATAAAATTCAGAATCCCTTTAGGGACCACTTTGATTTTGACCCTATAAAGTCCCCTTTAGAGGCTATTTTTTCCCCTAACCCCTATAGGGACCACTTTGATTTTACCCCCATAGGGACTGTTTCTCCCCCTAACCCCTATAGGGATCACTCTGAAACTCCTAAGGTTGGTTCTCTTCCTTTTCGCAATTGATTATCGATGGAGCGCAGATGCTCCAACAATTCCGTCCCAAACCACACCTTTGTCAAGGGCAGATTGTGCTCCTTGGGCACGAGGTTCTTGACGCCCTCCATGACAAACTTGGAGCTGTGGCTGAGCAACTTGCTGAACATGTTGATCGTCTTCGTGCCGGCGCCTTGGTGCTCCTCCGTGTGAACGGAGGACGTCCTCGCGCCGAGTTCCGAGAATGACCTTCAAACCGTCCGAATTTCACAAGTTGGATGGGGAGTTTGAAACTTGAGCTTCTGCACAAATCGTAGAGCCGATTCTTCGATGTTTCTGGAGCGCAGGAAGTTGAGCATTTCCTCGTGGCTGGCCTGGAAAAAAAAAGATAATTTTTCCGTTTTTTCAACTATATATCCTCATCAACTCTACACAACTTGATTCCCATGAAAATCGTTGAAAAATCAAAATTTATGGATATTTATCATTGGAGCGCAGATGGTCATTTAAAACCGCCTTCCTCATTACTACCACGAAATTTTATGATAAAAGGTCGTAGAAGAAGACTTAATACAGAACCTGATGAAAACGTTTTCTCCTACAGTAAACTCTGGAAAAATTCTATTAAATCTTCAAAAAAAAAGCCTTCTATCAAGCCAAATCCACCCTTTTCCCCTCTTCTAATTCACCTTGGTGACAGTTTCCTGGCACAAGAAGCTGATGAGCAAGACGCGCAAGACGTCCTCGTTGTTGGAAAAGTCGTTGATCAACTGCATCAGGGGCATGTCTGAGAGACACGTCATTATCATTTTACTCCCTTTAATATTTCTAAAACCAAGAGGGGAGTGTTGGAGGAGTTTCTGTTCGAGTTCGAACAGGACGTCAAGTTTCCGGGCCTTGATCTTTTCCAGAAGCGTGCTCGCCACGTTCGTGTGAAGGTCAATAAGCCTTAAAATTTTCAGAGTTTCAGTGTAATAGTCACAGCCGAATAAAAGCTACCGTAAGCTTTTTCTTTTTTGCACAATGGTCTCGAAGCGAAATTTAGTCTATTTCGGTATACAGTATATCTTGCGACAGAAAAAAGAAACATTACAGCTGAATAAAAGCTACCGTAACCTATTGAAGAAACTGTAAAAATTCACATGGGTCTCGAAGAGAACTTTGATCCAAACTGGTATACGGTGTATCTTGCAACAGAAAAAAAAACGGGACAGTACAGCTGAATAAAAGCTACCGTAACCTGTTATCTTTTCACTCTTTTGCTTTACAAAACTGTAGAAATGCACAAGGGTCTCGAAGCGAATTTTGATCAAATCTGGGATACGATATAAAAAACGGCACAGTTAAATAAAAGCTACCGTAAACTTATTTTACTTAACGCTTTCGTCAAACTTTGAATCTACGTTCAAATCTTCAAAGTCAGAGAGCGTTCAGAAGTGAGATGGGGAGGTATTTTTTTTCTCTGAACGCCCTCTTGTTTGTCAGTGCTCTCTAGCGTCCTCTATTATTTCCTCCCACCTTTTGGCCTCGAGCAGTTGCGGCAAACTTGTGACGGTAGAACCCAATTTTGCGGTTGTGTCCGACAAAAGTGACGTCATCGCCTCATCGGCGTCGTTTCCTTCCATTCCCTGGAAAATTTAGACTATTGATCTTTCTAGATATATGATTACTCCGAAAAAGAGATTCCAATCGAAGAAAAAAAGCAGAAAAATTTAAAAAAATCTAATTACTCGGAAACAAACTGAAAAAAACTGAAAAACGTTATTTTATCACTTTTTTTGAACAAAAAAATAAGAATTTCTCAATCCATTTTTGATCTCAAATTTATTACAAATTCGGTCAAAATTGAGATGCAGTTTCTGTCTAAAATATAAAGACTAAAAAAATGAACCATGGCATGTTTCAACCGTTTGATCTCCTCCTCGCTGCTTCTGTAGGCGTCCAAATCTTCTTGGATCGCTTCGGCGACTGCCGGGAAGGCGCTTCCCTGGAAAAATAGAGCATTTTGGAGAAATCTTTTGGAGTTTTGGAATATTTCACATGCTCAATTCAAAAACCTTGTGATTATTCCACAATTTGTCGGTGCCCCCGGTTCCCATGTCGTATTCCTTCTTCTTATTCGTCGAGTCGTTCAGAATCGTCACGCGATTTTGATCGAGGTCCTTGAAAATTAAAATAATGATATGATTTTTCTATACTTTTCATTTATTTACCAAGACATCGTGCATCAAAGCCTGATATGTCCAGGTGTGATGGAGCATCGTTGCCAAATCAGATGATCTGAATGGAAACTTTGAAACAGAGAATTTTAGATAATGAGTATTAAGTCGGAATGTTGGATAATGGCCGCTTAAAAGGTGAGGCTCAAAAAAGGTCGCAGAGCGGCAGCAAAAAGGTCGAAAAAAGGCAGCAAAAAGGTCGAAAAAAGACAGCAAAAAGAGTCCCTTCATTGAGTCTTCCATTTTTTTTCTGGAATATTAAAAACTCAAGAAATAATGGAAAAAGGGATAGGCAGCAAAAATGGTGCATAATAGCCGATGACATGGCGCAAAAAGGCGGCAAAAAAGAAACCTTTGTCACCCTAAAAGAAACATTTCTATGCAGCCTTTTTTCCACCCTTTCCGACTTTGCCTACGCAAGTGAGTTGTATAAATTATTTTTTTAAAGATAATCCAAGAAAAATTAATAAACTTTCTATAACTCTAAACTCCGAGAATTGAAAAAGAGAAATTCATAATTTTTCCAAGACTTTCGAACTTTTTAAAGAGACTGAAAGCTTTGTAGATGTTTTGAAAATGATTTTTTTCCAAATAGAGAATTTTAAATTTACAAAAAAATGCCCTGGCTTCAAAATTAGTCAAAAATTTTATCGCTATCCCTCATTAGGAATGCCAGAGTGGTCACTATCGAGGTCAGGGAAAGAACAGTTTCTATATGGACCCCAATAGGAGCCGAAAAAGTACCCATATATGGAATGAATGATGTTGGTCCCTAGAGGGGTTTAGGGCCTTAGCCCTAAAGCTCAAGTGGTCCCTATAGGGCCCTTTGATTTGTATTCAAAAAACGCTGATTTATTGACTTTTTCGTCTGCAATTGCTTCTTCTTATAGAGTTCATAAAAAAAACCAAATAACATGTCCCCTATAGGGACCACTTTTGTAAGCTTTAGGGGTACCTATAGGATGAGGTGAAGTGGTCCCTAAAGGGGAGCCTTCAGGGGCCTCTAAGTTTGTCCATACAATGACCATTCTGGAGCTACCAAGTAAATGCATCTTTTTTCATTTTTCCACCTTCTTTCCATCAGAAAAATTAACCTAAAATCCAATTTTTACCTATCAGAAATGACCAAAAGCGGCCGAGTAGCTTGCAAATATCCGACTCGGACTCCATCCAGAGTGAAGAGATTATTCCGGGCGTCTCTCAAGTTTTCCCTCAGCTTCTGGTCGAGTCTCTGAAAAAAGATGGGATAAATCTGTTTTCTCAGTACAGTCGAGTTTGGAAAAATACATCAGAAACATTTTTTTTTAATAGCCTAACCTGATATCTAAGCACTAAAGTTTGCAAAAGTGGTCAATTTAGAGCCTTTTTCATTGGCCACTCTAGTGGAGCATGCTAGTGGTCCCTATGTTTTCCAAAATCGAAAAAAATCTGAAAAGCCCTATAGGAACCACTTAAGCTTTAGAGGCTTCTGGAGTTAAAATCTAAACTTCTAGTATAGGAACCCGCTGAATTTCAGGGACCCTCCAAATTCCTTAACTTATCACTATTCAGTCCACTGTAGCGAGCTCTTCCCTAGCCTCTATAGTGACCCTTCTGGAGTTCCTAATTGAACCTAAAGCTTGATTTTTAAAAAAATTCTATAAAAAAATCTAGAATTTTTCCAAACTTTTTTTGAATGAAATTCAATAGGTTCTTCTCACTAACTTTTCAAAAAAATTGAAATTCAAACAGGTTCAAAATTTTATTCTCCTTTTTTTGAATCGTCGAAACAACTTTGAAGCTGATTTTTAATATGAATTTCAGTTCCAATGAACTAAAATTCCAATTCAAAACTAAAAATTTTTCTCAAAAATCTTATTGAAAATTGAATTTTTGGAAACATTTTTCTAAGCCATTCTTCAATATACTTCTCAGAACGCTGAAATTTTTCACGTTTTAGGGCCGATTTAGAAATTTGAAAAAAACAATTTTTTTCATCGTTTTTTTCTTAAAAATCAACTCTGAAAAATCTGAGATTTTCACAATATACAGGGAGCATTTTTCATAGCCACTCTTCAATATCTTTCTCAATAAGGTGAAATTTTTTCTCGATTATGGAATTTAAAAAAATCCATTTTTTTCATCATTTTTTTCTCAAAAAAATCAATACTAAAAGTTGTGATTTTCACACTATACGGAAGCATTTTCATAGCCATTCTTCAATTTCTTTCTCAAAAAGCTGAAGTTTTACGAATTTAAAATCCATTTTTTCATCATTTTTCTCAAAAATCAATACTAAAAGCTGAGATTTTTACAAAATTTGGAAACATTTTTTTGAAGCATTCTTCAATATCTTTCTCAAAAAGCTGAATTTTTCCGATTTAAAAATCAATTTTTTCATATTTTTCTTAAAAACCAACTGTGAAAAAGCTCAAATTCCCACCTTGGCCACCATCTCAGCCGCATTTCCCTTTGGGCAACGGATGATGGGGACGATTCCCATGGTGGCGCAAACCGCGAAAAGTCCGTCGGCCACCGAATCCAACATGGCGGTCATTGTCGTGTCGGAGGTCGATGGGTCGTTCATTGCTGAACAAAAATGTCAGGTTTCCGGTTTTTCAAGATCTTTATAAGAGGATATGGATTTTTTTTCAATTCTATAACGAATCAAATAAATGAAAAAAAGCAAATTCACGGAACGCTGGAAAAATCGGTCGTTTCGGTCGCTTTTTTAATGAAAGCTATAAATAATTCACGGCTAACTTTTGACACGAAAAGGCGTGCCTGTCTGCACTCTCCACCAACTAGGGCACTGTCTCGTCTCTTTTCGTGGCGGGACCCTTTTCGCGATGGCTCAAGCCAGCCGTGAATCAGCTATATTTATTCAAATTTTCAAAATTTCAAAGGTTTTTTGGGCTTTTTAAAATTGTTAACGGGTTCAAAGTACGTTTTATTCCTTATATGACTAGTTTTTCAAAACTTTCAAACTACCCAAAAATCGAGGAATCTACGCATTTGAGACACTTAAAAAAATTCAGAAAAATTTTTTTAATTTAAAAAAAAGGCGCTTTGAAAAAAAGGGACCAAACCGAATGGCTTCTCCAGCATGCAAAAAAATTCGCAAAACCTTCAAATCTTCAAAAAAATAAAAAAATTTTTTTGAAGTTAATCGATAATAATCAGTCGGAATCGATCAACTATGGTTCTAAAGCATCAAAACATCGAAAAAGGATAGTTTTTAGAATTTCTGAAACAGCAAACATTGAAAAATGAGGATCCAAGCAGTTTTTTTAGATTTTCTGAAGAAAAATCCCTCACAATAATAAGAAAGAGCGCTGTTCTCGTTGTACCGTCGCAAAACGAATAAATCGTCTTCCAGGGAAATGAAGTTGAGGTACTGATCGACGACCTGAGAATGGTTTATTCATTTAAAAAAATTTAGGGAGACCGTAGCGCAACAGGTTTTGTGCCTGACTACGGTCCTAAGTGTCACGAGATCGATCCCGCGACCCAGCCAAAGTATTCTAGGGAGAGTTTTTAAGCCCCCCCTGCTACAAAGGGTTCGGCTAAGGAAATCCCCCCCCCGGTTGCAATTTTGATGAAACTGCTGAAGTTTACTTTAAGACCTTCTGATTGCAAAACGGGACAAAAATTCCTGAGAAAATATCTGATTTTCAAGTTAAGCCGCTTCAAAAGCTTAGCCCTTTTGCCATAGTTGGGCAATTAAAGAACTTAGCTTACAAATATTTTGGAAAATCAGCAATAAAATCAGTTTTCAAGGAGGTATTTTTCGGCCAAAATATTACAAGTTTCATTTTCAGGGAGGTACCCTTAAGTTTAATTCAGGAAAACTTGGGAGGAAGGGTCGGGGGGGTGAAAAACGTAGCCTAATAAGGAAGTAATAATGGATGAAAACCCGGGTTCCAAATTCCCCCGTCGTCCCGTCACATACAAGGACGAATATGACACTAGAGCCAGTCCACTGATTATCACTGATATCTGGATACGACCTTGTCTCATCAACTCAAAATTCAAGCGGTACGAAGGCGTAAGAAAATCAGAGTAAAGATATCTTTTGAAAATATAACTATTAAAATTGTCATTTTACCTTCTGAACCTGAGAAACGGCGCCGCCATGAACCGCCGCCGAAGCCAGAGATTCCAATCTTGGACGAGAAAGCGGGGAAATGAAATTGCAGTAGAATGAGTCGTACATGGCCTGGAATTTCAACCCGTTTTTCGAAATTCGATATGATTTTATGATCATTTTCAAACAGGAATTTTCGGATTTATCCTCTGAACTTAAAAAAAGTGTTGTCACTAAATTTTTGAGTCATAGTTCCTTCTTAAAATGCACAATTTTTTCTCTGAAAAAAACAGATTTTTTTCAAATTCCTGCACATATTTTTAAAAGCTTCCTTTAAACTTTTAATGGTTATTCTCAATGAAAAAACAAAATTTTTCATTTTATCTTCTGAATTGAAAAAAAGGTACTGTTTCTGAATTTGAAACTACGATTTTAGTCACATTTACCTCTCAAAATCTTCAATTTTTTCGCCTCAATAAGTTTTTTTGATCAAAAATGAACAGTTTTTCTGAATTTTCACGATTTCGATATCATTTTCCTTTAAATTTATTACCTTCTTAAGGTCATCACTGAGCAAATCGACATTTTCATCAGTTGGGGCCACAAAATAAACAGCTGGGACATCTGTTAGTGGTTCGCGTCGAGACCCAATCAACCTGGAATGTTGGGAAAATGAGGAATGGGGCATAAAATTACATCTCAAAGGTTTAAAAATCATTTATAGCCATCATATTTCAAAGAAAATCGAAAAATCTACTGAGAAGTATACGAAAATGGACCTTAAACTTACAAAAAAACTTCAAAAATCATACTTACAATATTAAAATTGAAAGAGAGAAACTTTAGAATTGAAAAAAATGTTCCAAAAAAATGAAATTCTTTTTTCTGAGGGTAGATCCTGCGGTATTTTTTTCATGGGTATTAATTAAATAATATAAAAAAAACTGTTATCGACAGAAAAAACTGAACGTAAAGCTAAACCTACTAAGCAAAAAAATCTTTCTGAATAAATAAAAAATACCTAAGAAGTAAAAAAAAATATATAAAGCGCTTAAAACTTCCAAACACCCTGTGATTTAAAAAAAAACCTTGACAAAACCTGGAAAAAAATTTAATTTTTCAAAACTGCCTCATTTTTTTAAATATAATAACTGCCTGTGAGTGAAAATTAACATTTCATTTCATTTCAAGAATAAAAAACGAACAAATGCAATGTGACGCCCAAATCGCGAAGTTGTTTAATGGGCAAAAGTGGCGAAATGATATCCTGCCCCTGCTTGTCCAAAACCAACACTTTCCATACCTCAAAAATTGCTTTTCACACAAACCTTCAGCTCAAAATAATTACAAACCGCCTCTTTGACGCCAGAATTCGTGACAGGCTCATTGAGGTTGATCATCGACCGGAGAGCCACTGAAATACACCTTTCAAAACAGAAAAACCAAGTTTTTAGAAAGTTTCTCACCGATTTGACGCGTCCTTATGCTTTCAAAGTCGCTCGGCATGCTGAAATTCATTAAAAACCAATTTAATAACTTGTAAAACAAGGAAATAACATTAAAAATATCAATTTTCAGTGCAAAGTTCAGTCCTCCACGTTGCATAAGGAAAGCGCCAGGAGTGACGAATATTGGCGCAAATCTCGTGCGTGTGGATTTACGGGGAGGATCTTTTTTTCTTTGAAGTATTTCACGTTTTTTCACAAATTTTCTGATAAAACCAACGCATCAATCAAAATTTACTACCGCGAAACAATGTAAAACAACAAAACTCTTCAAGGAGATCGCCACACTTCTCAACAACATCGAAGAAAGGGTGAAAATGGAAAAATCAACAATAGAAAAGGAGAGGAACAACCTTATCGAGGAGGACAAAAACGATAATAAATAAATAAAATGATACAGTTGGGAGTCAATAGGGTCAGTTTCGAAAAAAGTGAGAGAAAATTAGAATCCGGTGTAGTTGAAGATGTCCTGCTGCTTGGCGAGCTCCAGAAGCATGGGATCGTCGAAGAACTTGTTCACCGAGACGTCTTCCGAAAGTCCTTTGCGTCTTCTGTAAACTCAGATTTCCATTAAAAAGCGATGATGTTTTCAAAAATTATTATTGATTGCTTTGATTTGATGAGATTCCCTAGAAGGAAGCTCGGGCAAGTCGGAATGGTGGATAATGGCCGCTAAAAGGCTCAAAAAAGGCCGCAGAAAGGTAGCAAAAAGAGTCCTTTTATCGAGACTTTCATTTTTTCAAGGGTTTCAAAGGCTGAAGAAATGGTGGGAAAAGGGAGAGGCAGCAAAAATGATATATAACAGTCGATGAAATGGCGCAAAAAGATAGCAAAAAAAGGAACATTTTTTTATGGAACCCCACCTTTTTTTAACTTGGCCTATGAAATTATTTTTTTATAAATGATTCAATTTTTTTCTAAAATTTTTGCAGAATACTTCTTGGTGGACCCAAATAAAGATCCTAAAGCTCTCAATTTACAAAAAAACCTCAAATTTCGTGGAAAAAAAGAGCGAAAAAGTATCGAAATCGTCCATTATTTTTTTACTATATTTAATGGTTCCTGAAGCTTCTTTCCTCAAAAATTATGATTTTTTGCAGCTCGACCATCAAAAAAACAGTTTTTTTCCGACTATTTGAAAATTTCCAGCCACAGAGACCTTCCTTGTCACACCAGAAAGTTCAAAATTATCATTTTTAAAATTCAGAAAAAAATCAAAATCTGATTTCCCCTTGAAAACTGTCACAAAAAAAGCAGGACAACTCTGTTAAATGTCCCATTTTTCACAGGACAAACATCGCCCCGGGGAGTCGCGCAAAGGCTCCGCCCACTCTACACTCCAAAAGAGAAAAAATCCAACGTTTCTGTCTCTGCTTTCAACAGCGAAAAATGTATTTCGTCGTCAATTTTCCGCTTCCATGCTGCAATTACCCGCCACTGTGCCGGTGACCCATTAGCCCCCGTTCATATCCACCTTCAGCGAGAAAAAAAAACCGATATTCCTTATTGATTTCTGACTTCAAGGCTCCTAGTTTTGAATTTATAAAATCTGATTTTCTTCTTTGCGTCAATTTTAACCCTCCGAATCGTTCTTACTTATTGCTTTTCATTATAATCATTATTTTTTCAATTACAGCCTCTCCAAAAAACCCATAATCCTTATTAAGTTCTCACTTGAAGATTCCTGATTTTGAACTTATAAAATCTGATTTCCTTAAATGTTCCGATTTTTAGTCGCGATTTCAACTCTCTGAATCGTTCCTACCTAGTACTTTTCATTTCGATCATTTTTTCTTCAATGACAGCTCTTCCAAAAAACCGATATTCCTTATGGGGTTCTGAATAATCTTCAAGTATCCATTTTTGACTTTGAATAATCCATTTTCTCATTCACCTTCAGTTTGATCGCTTCATTTCCCTGAACTTTTGATGCCATTAATCAATTATTTCCAAACAGATCCTGATTTATCCCTTATTAGCCTCTTCAAAAACTGATAAACCCTATTAGATCTAAAAATGTCTAAAAATTCCAATTTTGAATAAAAAAAACATAACTTTTGTATCGTCAAAGGAGTTTGAATTTTCTACATTTTACTTGTTTAAAAATTCCCATTCAGGTCACTTTTTTTCTTGTCTAATAATCTTTCCCATCCATCTCAAAAAAACTGATAACCCTTCTCTTTATTCAAAAATTATGTTCAAGTGAGAAAAAAAAGCTTTCTAGTCTCTTTGAATCAACCCCTTTTCATTGAAATATCTTCGATTTTTTTATCCAAAAAAATCTAATTTTTTTCAGATTTAGTACTGAAACTATGTCAACTAATATTATCCAAGGTACTCTTTTTTTCCGATGCTTATCTTATTTTTTTGAATTCTCACCTTGAAAAAAATTAATAACTTTTTTTCTCTACACTATCAGTCCATTAGAAACCGATTGATAATTATTTTTTTCGAAAAATCTTTAGAGTCCCTCTTGGAAAAACTCTCTCTTCCTGCCATATTTTTCAAAATTTTCCTAAACTTCGTTCCTTTTTTTATCAAGTTCGAGATATTCGGAAAAAATTATGAAAATCATCATTTAAAACCCATTTTTCATCAAAATCTTGAACTTTTCCAGCAAATCACCAATTTACAAACTTCCCATTCAAAATCGGTTGTGTCAAACTAGCGGATCGTGCAACGGACAAAGGAAAAAAAGGAGAATGCAAATAATAACAGTGCAAACAAACGTCCGCAATGTCGATATTCCAGATGATTTCGAGGTTTTTTTTTGATTTTTTCAACAAGAATTGATTTTCAGCAAGCGATCGCCTATCATGCGTCAAAAGTGGGCGGGATTCCGGCCGAGAAAATTATTGTAATTTTGGAGGCCGGGAAAAAGATCACGTCGAATTTGTCGCAACAACCGTTTGCACTAATTAACGTAAGGTTTTTTTTTCTGATTTTCTAAATTGAAAAATTTTGACAATGAAGCCTTTCATCCAATGATCAGAAAAAAATTGCCTTGAATGCACATTTTTTTATATTTTTTTGCTGTCTCATTGTTATCAATTGCCTCAAAAAAAAAAAACAAAAATAAGCTAGGAAAGAAAAAAAAACTTAACCGCTCTTTATTTTCTAAGAACTTTTTGCGGAAAAATCCCGTTTTATATCTTTTTTTCACCGATTTCAAGGTTTTTTTCTGGCGAATTTATGCTTTATGGCTCCGCTCTATACAGTTGACAGAAAAACTCGAATTTTATAGGAAAGAACAAAGGACAAAGAACTTGGATTAAAATGGAAAAATTTTCAAGTTATGTATCTTTTTGTTTTGTTTTTTCCCAGCCATAAAATCTATATTCCAGTTAATCTCCCCGAGGCCTTCCTCTCAATCCGAAAACGACAACTATGCCAAAACGCTAACCGCAGTTTGTAAGCAATGCTTGAAACTCGAAGATAGCAAGGTAATTTCCTTTAAAAAAGTCGCCAGGAAAATTCAAAAATATAGAATCTACTTATAAAATTGATTTTTCATCCAAAGAAAATGGTTTTTCTTATTTTTTTCTTGTAAAATATATATTCATGGAGCTCAAAAATCCACTTTTCTGTGACCAATCCTAAATATCTTATAAAGTGTGTCTTTATCCAAAATTTATCGAAGCTCGAAAATAGCAATGTGAAACCTTTCAATACCGAAAAATCGCTAAGAGAGTTCAAAAATCATGAAACTACTTGCATAGCTGATTCATTAACAGACAAAAAAACAACTTTCTCTTCATTCTTCGAATAAATTTCAAACTTGCAGCTCAAAAATCCAGCTTCTTTTTGAATCGTAATTCCCTTTCCCAACATAAAAATTTTTAAAAATTGCTTTTTTTATCGCTTCATTTTAGGTAATAATAACATTCGAGCACCGCGACGCTCGAAACATGGCCACACAAGGGAAAACTTTGGCAACATTATACGCTGATTGAAAATATTGATGTTTCCCTTTTTTGTCATCTTTCTTCTCACAAAACCTATCACAATCGCCATGATATTGCATTTTTGTTATTTATTATTTCTGTTAAGGGTTTTTTTTTCTTATTTTCCGCTTAATCCTATCCACAAGTTATCAGTCATACTATATGCGTGTATCCTCTTTGAATAAATGTTTTGATCAGTTGCAAAATACAGGAAAATAGATTTCTTTGAAACTCAATTCGCTTCATTATCAACATTCAAGGCTCACCAGGTAATGGTCTCCGGCCGCAGTGGGACCTCTCAATGTTTCCTATATGTAGTTTTTCACGCTGAACCCAAATCTGGTCTCAACAACTGTCGAGGAGTCTTTGAAAAAAAGTTATGGATCCTCAAAAGTCGAAAAATTCAGCGTCCCCGATTGAGCTCATTTTGGAATGGTATATGGATCTTGAACCTCTGGTCACGGAAAAATATCAGATTTTTCTCAAAGAAATTTTGGAGCCCAGATATGACCTTTCAAAGCCCCGCTGAAAATCAATTTTTAGAGCTCAATCTGGTCTTAAATCTATGTTTTAGATACAATTGAACGGTCGGTTCACTTCTCGATGGAAATTCTCAATTTTTACAGCTCAATATATTTTTAGATTCAAATCCTCAATATCCAGAATATCCAGAGCTCTATCAATACCTAGATCGATTTTTGCAATATTTAAAGCTCAATCTGAATCTCCACCCAAATTTTAACATTTATACCTCAAACTGCTTCAAGATGCAAATTTGTAATATTCAAAATTCAATCTGACTCAAGCTCTAATGACCACTCCTCCAATCGCTCCATTCCCAAAGCGCTTTTTCCGCGAAATTCGATTGCCTCTAGGAATTCTCTCCATACTGCTTCATCTCCCTGGATCATCTACCCACCTCGTCTTGATCATGAACTCTCGGGCGAGGTGAGGCGTCGGCTGCAGTTCCAGGGGCCGGATCACGATCGATTTGTCCAGCGGATCTCCGGGAACGATCTGATGGAGGTTTCAAATCATAATTTGAACATTAAGATTCAGTTTTAGGTCTAGAACTTTCCAAAAAAGCCACCAAATTTGGGTTTTTTTCCTTTAAATAAATATTTTACCGTTTTAACCACGTTAATTAACCAAAATTGACACAAGCGTCTCAGCAAAATTCGAGTCAAACTCTTTTCAAATTATACAAGTGCAACAGGAAAGCTGGGGAAAACGGATTTTTCTTTTTTTTTTCGAACAGGTGAGTGATTACCTGCCAATGATTGAAGACGGACATGCAGAAGGCCTGTCCCTGGGTGTGCGTTCGGAGGTCCGTCTCGAAGCCGAACGAATCCATCACCGGGATGAACGCCTTCAAATTGAGACGTTGGGGTAGAAAAATACGGAAAATTTTTTTTTCGATCCTCAGGCGTCAACGTTTGTTGAATCAGTTCGATTTCACAAAAAAAAAATCGGAAGCTTTTCAAATATTTTATTCGGCATGGTTTTCTCCCGATTCCCAATTTTCCCGCTGCTACTCGAAACGGATAGTTCAAAGAAAATACTAAGGTCCAAAATATCCTCCAAAATTCGTGAAATTTTCGTTTTTTGTTATTTTTATCCATTCACTGAGCAGTAAAATTTGAAAGGATCATGCAATTTTCATGTTTTTTTTCGTCATCTGTTTCCGTCAAAGTTTTACAGCAAGTTGAAGCCTCTAAAGCATAGATAGGCAAGTACAGAGCTCATTGAGCCCGAGAGGAGGGATCGGCTCATAAGAATTCAGAAAAACTAGAGATAAAATCAATTTTCAACCTCAAGAAGGTTCTTTTGGCCCATACATCGGCTGGATCCCACTCCGGGGTGCCCCCCCCCCTTTTCTCAAAAGGACGGCAGTTTCACCCTCAGGGAGGTAATATCAACTTTGACTTGGGAAAACCAGAAGGAGGAGTCGGCGACCTTTATAAATGATCATGTATGCTCTAAAGCATTTTTTCTTCATACTAGATTTTCACGCCTGTATAATTTTTTTTCCATAAAGCCTTAGACCTTTTTTCTGAAGCTTTTCCCTTTGAAACTATTATTTTGCTCTGTCATTTTTCCTACAGCTCTGAAACTTCTTTCAACTGCTTTTTTTTCTCTTCTTTCTACAATCCCTTTGACTTTCAAGCACCTTGATGGAATACATGGGGGATCCGGGAATCGGTGCGTCAGTGGTGACGTGACCACGTCGTTTGGCTAAGACCGTGTAAACGGAAGAGACACAATCGGCCGGGGCGACAACTTCCACCGTATAATAGGGCTCCATCAGACGAGGGGTCGCCATCTGAAAATCGATATTTTTCGATTTGAGTCAATTTTTGTTGACTTGAAATGTTCTGCGCCTTTCTATGGCACTCCAGAGTGGTCCCTATAGGGGCAAATTTAGGGACATTTGAAGTTCCCGACTAGTGACCACTCTATCTCGCCCTATAGGGACTACTAAAGCCTGTAAAGTGGCCCCTGTAGAGGTTCCAGTAAGCGGCCGCTGCAGGGGACATTCTACTCGATTATTGTTGAAATTAAAGATTTTTTCTTTTTTAAATGTTTTCGCGTTAACTTTTTCTATTTTTCAAGGTTGTGGAACTTTTTTCGCTTTCTTTTCTGCAACATTTTCAACTACTATCCTAAAAATTTTAAAATTTTAAAACCCCGCCAAAACCAGCACCTTTGTTAAATCTGCATATATCACCTTACAGGTCAATCAATCAATCAATCAATCAAAAATTTCCCACATATTCCTTCTAAAACTCACCAAAAAGGCCGAATATGCACATCGACGGGCCGTCGGAATGATCTGACCACCTCCTCTGTACAAAGGCTCGTTGGCGATCGTCGCGTCGAGCAATTTGAACTTGACGTTTCGGATGGCTAAAAAGATATTAAATCATTTCCTCTCATAGAGGATTTCGCAAGACTTTCATAAAGACCTGAAATTCAGGCCAGCATAAATTTTTAAAAACCGCTTCTAATGCAAACTTCGCTTTGAGACCTGATACCGCATGGAATAATATTATTTCCCACGATTTTTTAAATTTTAAATCGGGATTGAAAAATCCGCTAGTTTCTCTTTAAAAACTGCACTCTTCTAAATGCTCCATTTCTAGAACTCAGATCTATTGAGAATTGATATATTTTAAACGATTTTATTGATCTGTTTTTTCTGCAGTTCTTCAAGGGTCTCGAAGCGAAAGAGCAAAAAAACGTCTTCAAATTTGCTTTTTTCAAGCTTGAACGTATAGAAACTTCTCTTCTTTTCTGAAAAAGGTCGTCACAGATTTTTTCGTCTAACTATAAAGGAGCAACAACTGACGTTCTTCACAGAGTGGTCCTTCACGGGCAGCCCATTGGAATCCTTGAACCAGAGATTCGCGGACGGTCGCCAAAAGATGCTTGTCAACCTGTAAAAGCGCAGATTTCACGTTTACCGCGAATGAAAAAAAAATAAATCAAAGAAAAAATTGATAATTTGAACATTTCAAAAAAAAATTTCCTTCGAATTATATGTAAACATTCCTTTCAAAACACCGAACTATTCTATCTTTTTTTTCTTACCAAATTTGTTTCTTTTGCAAGTTCTATTGCTTCGAAACAAGAGAAGACAACTATTCTTTTTTTTTCTTGGATATATTTAGGCCATTTTTGGACTAAAACTTTATTTTCCAATCTTTAAAAAAAGGTCCTTTTCATAAATTTCCAAACTACTAACTTTCTACACCCTTTCGTCAAAGTCATAATTCTTCTTGTCTGTTTTTTGGTCAGCCTCCTATTTTCCTTCTAAAACACTCACCTCAGAAGGCAGGGTATCATCGAGGAAAATGTTCGGGCCAGTGGTATCTGGTCCGAAGGCCCAAATGGATCTGGCGGCGAGCAAATCCCAGTCATATTTCGACTGGAAGAACTCTCCGAGACGTCTTCGGTTCCACGCGATTTGAACAATCTAAAAATCGAAATTGCTCCGTTTTTCAATATTCTTTCTGCTTCACTTCATTCTCAATATCCTCGGCGAGACCCTTCTCCAGCGGTTCGGCCATCATCGTGATTTTGTTCTTTTTGTTGGGAGTTTCGGCGAAACATTTAAGGGTCGAGGTTTCAATGACTGTTTCGCAGAACGTTACGACCGGGTCGGCAACCTGAAAAGCTTCGAGAAAATGAGAAACTAAGATAATTAGTTCAAAGAATCCAAAATGTTTACGGCGAGTAAAAACTAGGGTTTTAAATATTAATGTCATCCTTAAGAGATTTTTATTTTGCGTCAAAGTTGACCGAAAAGAGCACAAATATACGTCAAAGTTGACCGAAAAGAGAACTAATACTTTGTTATATTGTTTTATTTCCACGGAACCTTGATATCGATTTCGGAGAAGACTTTCCGCATGTCGTGCATCACACAGTCCATGTACAGCTCGCCGGTTCCCAGAAGGACGTGTTCTCCGGATTCTTCGACGCGAGTCGTCAGAAGGGGGTAAGACTTGTTGACCTTAAAAAATCATTTTCAACCGAAAAAGATAAATTTTTTTAAGAAAAACTTTCCAAATCACTTTATAAAGATCATGTAGGAGCTACTAGAGAAAAAAAAAAGCTGGAATTTTTGAAACTCAAAAACAAAAAGACATTAGGAAGAGCGCACAGTTCATTATTAATAAAGACCAAAAATAAATTATTTTTTTCGATTTTCAACTGAAAAAATCATTTTTTTAAAACAACATGTGCCAGTTTGTATAACTCGCAAACTAGTGTATTTCTCTGGAGATTAAAAAATCGGGATAAAACTTGAAAAAAATGTATAAAAAAAGATTCTAAAAAAATTTAAAAAAACTGTGAGAATATTCGACAAGCGCGCTAGTGGCGCTTAAAGAAGTCAAATAGTAAAATTTAAAAAAATTTTAAACTACAGAAAAATCCAGCTTCTCACCAACATAAATAAACGCAAATGACTTCAAAAACCCGTAAAAAATGGATCAATAAACCAAAATTCTCCTCTGAAAAGCCTTTTTAAACCAAGGTATGCCAATTTGGATTATAACCAAAACATTCGACATTTTTCTCTCGAGGTTAAAAAAATCGGAAAAAGTGAAAAAAATGCAAGAAAAAAAGGATGAAAAAAAACTAATAACTGGAAGAATTTCAAGAACGCTCACTAGTACCAAAAAAATTATAAAAAAAGTCCTTATAATATCTAAAAATTTTTTTGAAAAAAATCCAGCTTCTTACTGACAACACTTAAGGCAAACGATTGCAAAACCATAAAAATTGGATGAAAAATCTAAAAATCTCCTTCCCCAGTTCAAAAATTGTACAAAGACCTCTTCTAACCACCACTTTCTAGGAAATTCCCTTTTTCTCACCTTTCTCAAGCCATCCAACATTTTGGGCAGCTCGGAGGGATTGATCGGCTCGACGGCCAACTTGACCACACTTTTCGTGTTGAACTTGAGGGGCCGGAAAATGTAGACCTTGAAAAAATCAGTTGTAAAACTGCTGGAATCAAAAAAATACACAAAAAACCATTGAAAATTGTCTTTCTTGTGCCTTTTTCTATTAAATTTATCACAGTGTTGTTCTTTTTTCAGATCTGGACGTATTTCTCATACTTCTAGTTGAACCTGTTCCCGAAAAAAACCAAAAATAAGCCGTAAATCATCAAAAAATCGTCTTTTAGGCTTTTTTTTTCCTTTATTTCCTATCTCAATTCCATTTTTTTACAATAAAATTCGTCACGAACATCCTCATCATAATCCAACTCGGCGATCGTCGACGTCTTCACAATGGGCTGATCGATTCCCTAAAAAGGGACAGAATTACGATTTTTTTCAAAATTCAAGCCCACTTCAATCAAAACCCAACATCCAGCCGGGACGCGCGAGACTTCGATTTGATATCTGAAAGAATAATGATAAGAGCGATACGCCAAAGACACGAATTAGTTCTAGGAACAGGCAGTCTTTTATTGTTTTTCTCATTTCATCCTGTTTCAGTTAAGCCAGGTCAGGTGGAAAGAATCGGAAAGAAAAGAAAAAGAAAGAAGATTTTTTGGATTATCTAGTCCATTCGCCGCGACTTGACAGTTTTCGCGTGTCTGCGTCTCTCTGTTCCCTCACCGACAGGTCAGAGAAACATGGAATTAGCACGTAAACATGAGAGAGACGTCGAGAGATAAGGAGGGCGTAAAGAAGTCCCGCCCTTTCAAGTCGGGAAAAACGGACTATAAAATCACTAGATCCTACTAAAATCTAGACTCTATCACTCTTACTCATAGGATAAAGGACTCATGTAAATAGTGGAAAAAGAAGGTTAGGAAATCAATTTAACGAAAATTTTATATATTTCGACGTCAAGAAATTTATTTTCTTTAACGTGACCTGGCTTAACTGAAACAGGATGAAATGAGTTTCAAAAGATTATCAAAAGTTTTTTTCTATGAGTTCGTAGTATTCGTATAGCATTGTTAGCCAATAGCTTTCATTCATTTAAAGTGTCTATTCGTCTTTTCGCAATCCGTAAGACAAATACAAAAAGAAAAAATCCAAAACAATCAAATAAATCTAACAGCTGATCTGTGGAAATGGTTGGAGGAGAAGATTGCCTGAATAGACCGCCTCTTTAGAGAATTACTGTAGCCAAAATACGAAAAAAAAAAAGCTCATACTCTAATCAAAAACGCTACACAAACCTCTGAAACTTTTAGTTGAGGATTTGGTAGGCTCCGCCCCTTTTAAGGATTACTGTAGCCAAAATTCGAAAAAAAAAGCTCATAATCTTATCACAAAAGCTACACAAACCTCTGAAACTTTTAGTTGAGGATTTGGTAGACTCCGCCCCTTTTAAGGATTACTGTAGCCAAAATTCGAAAAAAAAAAGCTCATAATCTTATCACAAAAGCTACACAAACCTCTGAAACTTTTAGTTGAGGATTTGGTAGACTCCGCCCCTTTTAAGGATTACTGTAGCCAAAATTCGAAAAAAAAAAAAGCTCATAATCTTATCACAAAAGCTACACAAACCTCTGAAACTTTTAGTTGAGGATTCGGTAGGCTCCGCCCCTTTCGAGGATTACTGTAGCCAAAATTCGAAAAAAGTTCATACTCTTACCATAACAACTACACAAGCCTCTGAAACTTTTGTTTAGGGTTTTGACAGGCTCCGCCCCTTTCGAGAATTATCATAGCCTTCGTAGTTTGGCTACAGTAATTCTCTAGAGAGGCGGAGCCTACCGAATCCTAAACTAAAAGTTTCAGAACATTGTGTAGCTGTTGTGGTGAGAGTATGGCATTTTTTTTTGTATTTTGGCTACAGTAATCCTCTAAAGAGGCGGTCTATTCAGGCAATCCACAGATCAGCTGTTAGATTTATTTGATTGTTTTGGATGTTTTATTTTTTGTATTTTTCATGCAGATTGCGGAATGGCGAATAAACACTTTAAATGAATGAAAGCTGTTGGCTAAAATATCTCCATGAATACTACGAACTCATAGAAAAAACTTTTCATGCTCTTTTGAAACTCATTTCATCCTGTTTCCGTTGAGCCAGGTCACGTTGAAAAAAAAATAAGATTAATTTCTAATAAGTTCGAGACGGCGAAATACATAAAAATGTTCGTTAAAATGATTTCCTAACCTTCTTTTTTCACTAAAAATCAGTAGATAGGAAACATATTTTTAGCGAATTTCGTGAATTAAAAATCAAGACGCAGTGGTTATCATGTATTATATTGAAAAAAACATTTTTTTCGTCAAATTTTTTTGAAAGATTTTTTTCTGAAGGGTACCTTTTTTTGAAAAAAATACGATTTTTTTAGATTAAAAAAATTACACGGTTAGCAACTCCATGTAAACTCTTCTCTAGAGCGAATAAGAAATAGCATTTCTCGAAAAATGCAGATTTTTGAGCAACTTCAGTTCAATTTTGAGGGATTTCAATGAAAACGACACGAGAAACTTATGATCCACTGGCCATTTTTCTGTAAATTTCTCAGGCCTTGGAAAAATAATGGTACTTTCAAATCGAGGTACCTTCTTGAATTCCAAATGATCAACTACAATTTGACGTCCAATGTTTCGTATATTTTTAAAATAATGTCCTTTCGAATTTTTGATTTTAGAGAGTCCTGGTAAACAAAAGATTGTTTAGAAAAAAAAAATCCAATCTTCTCATTTTTTAGCGCTCTCTAACTTTCTAGGGTTCTATAATAAAACACACTTTTTACTATCTTCCCCAGTTTTTTACTGTAAAAAAGACCGTATACTAAATTTCCGCGGATTCGGTTCGAGACCTTTGTTTTTTGCAGACTTTTGTAGTCATTTTCCGCATAAACGTGCAAAGAAAACTGTGCTTACTGTAGCTTATATTCAGCTGTGCCTTTATGACTGTGCAGGGAGCACTATATAATCTGCTCAAATTTCTAATTTCAAGTAGCTCAGTATAGCTGGCTTGAGCCATCGAAAAAAGGGTCCTGACACGATAAAAGAAGAAATAGCGCCTGGTTGAAGGAGAGCGCAGAAGCCACGCCTCTTAGCGTCGCAAGACAGCCATGAATCGGCTATACCTTTTCGCATCGATGCTCCTTTAATAGCGCTGCCTTTTCGCATCGTTGCTCCTTTAATAGCGCTACCTTTTTCGATCCAGCTTGAAAAATAGTCAAAAAATGCAGCGCTATTAAAGGACCATCGTCACACTATATGAAAGAAATCGACGCAAGAAGGTCCTACAGCGGAGGGGGCGGATTTAGCCGCTCTAAACTCTTCAAAAGCGTTCCCCAGTTTTTTTTTTTACTCTCGTACCTCGCCACGTAGACCCAGAGTCGTCCGACGGTCAGCCTACGGCAGTCCTCCTCATCCTGGATGCTGTAGTTCTCTCCGAGGATTCTGACGTCGGCGTTGGATTCGAGAGTTCCACTCAAGACTCGGCCCAGAACTCGGAACGATGTTGCGTCGGCCGTCGCGTAGTTCTTCGTCGTGTGAACCATCAGAGGTCCCTAAACTCACGAAATTCGTTAAGAAAACGCACGAATGGACCCTGGAAGCCGGAAAATAATGTTTGATCAGAGCAAGTTCCCGAAATTTCGTTACTGAAGTAACTCCGAAGCTAACAATCTTTTTTTCTTAAGGATAAAATTTGAAATCTTCATAAAACTTCTAAATTAGTTTATTTTTCCTTAGTTTTTAAGCTAAAGGCTCCCAGAAACAGGAAAATGATGTTTCTTAAAGAAAAATTGTTTTTTACAGTTTTTATTTGGGTTTTGAAATCGGTTCCGATTTTTCGATGACTAAAGTTTGAAATATTTGAAAAGCATACTTTTAATTTTATAGTTCGTAGTCAAAGACCCCAGAGGAGGAAAATAATTTTCAAATGGAGCAAGTTTAAAAACTGCATTCAATGGCGCGCAAAGGTTTCTCCGAAAGTTTTTTTCCACCTTTTGAAATGAGTTCCGAGTTTTTAATGAAAAAGGTTTGACAAAAAAATCGCAAATTATTTTTTTCCTATTCGTTGCTCAAAGATCTACAGAAACAGGAAAACAATATTAAAACGGAGCATGGAGCCAAAATTGCACTCATTGATGTCCTATAGTTGTCGCGAAATAATTGATTTTTTATCAATTCAGTTAGTTTTATTTTCACAGAATAAGGTTTGAAATCGTCTTAAAGCATCTCCATTACTTTTTATTCCATAAGTTTTGGTCAGGGAAGCCTAGAAACAGGAAAAGGATATTCAAACGGAGCAAGTTTAAAATTACATTCATTAGGCGTCCAAAGGTTTTCTCCAAGGTTTTTTGAGCAAGTTTTTTTTTTGCGTTTGAAACGAGTTCCGATTTTTTTCAATGAATTAAGTTTGAAAATAGCAATTATTATATTTTTCCTTTTTTTATTACTCAAAGATTCCCAGAAACAGGAAAAATAATTTTTTTATCCGCAAAATATTTTTTTCAAAACGCAAAACCGTTCATTTATTTTTGTTTACAATTTCGATTCGTCACGATTACTTTTTGTTTCATTATTTTTCGGATAAAGATCCTCAGAAACAGGAAAATGATTTTTAAAATGGAAAGTTTCAAAAATATTATTAAATGGTCCCCTTTAAGATGCTCCGAAAAACGTTCTTATTTTTTTGAATTTTTGAGGCTGATTTTTGAGTGTTCCAATCTCTGAAATACGAACATCAGCACTGCATTTGTGCATTTCCTGGGCCAATTTGCTGTCGGCCGGTCCCAAATACGTCAATTCGATCTTGTTCTTGGCGTTCTCCAGGGGCGACTGGATGTTGTTCACGACAAGGTCCGTGAAAGCTGAAAAATTGGGTGAAAATTGAAGGGAAAAATTCTGGTTTTTGATGATTGATAATTTTGAAACCCTTAAAAAATATAGGCAAAGTCGGGAGGACCCTTAGGGGCCCTTTGAGGGTGCGTTATGGGTGCAAAAGGCTTCCATTAATTTTTACTGAACGGATGGCAAAGGTTGCCTTTGTACTGCCTTTTTCCGTCCTTTCATAGGCCTTTATCCACCCTTTTTGGACCTTCTCGAAAAACACAACAGTTTTTAAATTGAGATTATTTTTTCTAGTGACTGTGTATGAACCAAAATGTGCTACAGTAATAACATCATCAATGGCCCAGTTTTTCAGCGTCCTTTTTTCACCCTTTTTGGACCCTTTTAGGACCCTTTTAGGACCCTTTATTCACCCTTTTTGCACCCTTTCTTCACCCTTTTTTCACTCTTTTTCACCCTTTTTCACCCTTTTTGAGGTTTTTTAGCTCACCTAAAAAGAAAGGCTCAATAAAGGCCGCAAAACGGAACCCTTTTAACGGCCATTTTGCACCCGTTTTCCGCGCTTCCGACTTTTTCAGCAAAGCGGTTTTTGAACCAAAAATCGATTTCTCATCATTGAAAAACTACATAAATTCGTACTGTTCCCAAAATTTCGAAAAGAAACCGAAAATTTCCGAATAATGAAAATATTGTCTAGATCTTTTTTCAAAAATGGTATTTTTGAGTCCCCAAAAAATCAAAAAGCGCCGGATTTTCAGCTTCAAAATCAAAACTTTGAGCTGTCTAACGTGGCAAAAATCATAAATTTCTCTCTAGAAAAAAACCTGTGAAATCCCCGAAGAATCGCTTGCAAATCAAGGCAACGAGGGGCCGAACGTTCATCCGTTGTTCCTCCTTGGAGAGACGGATGTTCAGCTCCTGCATCATGTACGGCAAGCACGTGTCCACGTCTCCGACCACCTTTAAATTTCAATATTTTCATGATTTTTCATCTAGTTATATTTCAATTTTGAAAGTTCATCCAATCAAAACTATCATTTTATTTTTATTTCGTCGAAAAATAAATTAAATTTCCATACATTTCCACATACGGTTTTCAGTGAAGATCCCAACTTTTTAGAGGTTCTATTTCACTTCTATAAAAAAATTATTATTCAAATTTTTTTAAATCCTTCAAGTTCTCTCGTATAACCTCGTTATAACCGTGATAAGACAATTTTTTTCAAAAACCCCCAAAAAAAGAGAAAAATTCAACCGATTCTCTGTTTTTTTAAATGCATAAAGTTCTCTTAAACTTCTAAAAAAAGAGAATTTTTTTCAAGCCAAAAAGATAAATTTCTCCTGAATCCATGTACAGAAAAAGTAACAGAAACGAAATAAAAACACTTTTTTTGCTCCCCAAAAATGAAAAATCTTTAAAATTCATTCAAGTCTTGAAAAAAACCAGACTATTTTTACTAATAAAAATCTTCTGACAACCCGAAAAAAAGAAAAAAAATTGAACCGGTTCTCTGTTTTTGAAATGCATAAAGTTCTCTTAAAAAAACTTCAAAATTTTTAAAAAGAGTTTTTTTAACCAAAAAAAGGTGAGTTCAACCGATTCTCTGTACGGAAAAAGTAACAGAAATAATATAAAAAAATACTTTTTGGCTTTTTTAAAACTAACATCTCTAGAATTTATTCAAATCTCAAAAAACCGACATTTGTGTGATTTCAAAACACCAATTTTGAATATTTGTGTATTTTAACTTCTCCTTCCCTCGTTTCCCATTTTTTTTTTTGAAATTAAAACTTTTTTCTCACTCCCAAAAGCCATACCTGCGAGAAAATCTTATAGAGTGGTTCCAAGATGAACTCGACGAAAGTACGTTGAGTGCTGCTGTTGGCCGCTTTCTTGGTGAATTTCCGAGTTTTCTTATCGAAATAGATGTCGCCCCAGAGGCGTTTCGAGAACTCCTTGGGATTGAAGATTCCGTCTGGAAAATTTGGAAGAATACTTTTCAATACGGAATACTATTGTGATAACTTTTTATGATCAAAAAAATCTAATTAATTCACTTTTTTTCGTTGATTCTCGCTTATTAACTTTGGAAAGCTAAAAGAATCCCGTTTTATCTATTTACTTTTTTTCATTAACCTTCCATCTCTTTTTATCTGAAATTTTTTTAAATATAGTAAATAGATTTTTCAAGTACAGCCGTGAATTCTCATGGAATTATTGAACCTATCTTTTCCCAAAAAAAGGGGTCCTTTTCTATTATTCCAAGGGTTTTCAGGTAAACCTGAAAAAAATGTAGGAATCAAGAAAGGCAAGCAAGAAATTAGGATAAACGGCTTTTTTTCAACAGTGTGATCGCTCGTGTCGTCGCGAGGAGACCCGTTTTATCAGCAGCTCTGGCGAGCGTGGAGTTTTGAATAATGTCTAGCTCCTACTGTCACGCTTAGTTTTTTTTTAGGTCTTTTTGATGGATTCTCTACATTCAGAATCTCGATAGTCAGCAAGGAGAAGCAGAGGTTATAAGGGAAAGAACCACAGTATACATATATTTTTAGGGGCGCTTTTTAAAATCCGTTATGATAACGGGTTAAGGACCCGTTATAAAATGTATATGATATTTCGGCCATAAAAGAAAGTGTGAGAAGCACGCTACAACGGTCTTTTTGCGATCCTTATTTAGTCTACAGACTAATTATTATTCTCAGAGAGGATCAACTTTCAAGACCACCGACCCCTTCTTCCAATTTCCCTTAAATTAAAGCTGTTACTACCTCCCTGTGGCTAAAACTTGTGTTATTGAGGCGAACACTAGCTTCTTGAGGTTGAAACTTGATCTTTTTTCGAAATTCTTGTAAGCCAACCCCTCCTCCTGGGCTGAATCCGTTCTATACTTGCCCATCTTTGCTCGGAACAGATCCTTGGATCTTCTCCAGTTTCGATACTCACTGTGCCTCTGAGCATAGACTTGGGCGAACGAGACTAAGGAGAAGCAGACGTTGTAGCGTCCCGACGAGAAGATGACATTGCCGTTCAGAGGCGACAGTACCGGGACCTCCTCCTCGGAGAAGGTTCTGGAAAATATTCTTCTTGAAAAAATCCTTGCGAGACGAACTGGAGGATCTGGTTGACTTGGTCGACGATTAGTCTCAGTTTGTAGTAGGCGTCCGCTGGCGGGAGTTTCAGCTCCAGGATAAGACGGTCGACCTTCGAAATGCAGAGAGTGATGGGCAGACGTTCCTGGACCGCGTGGCGAAGGGCCCGTTCCGTGTTCATCATGATCTGAAATTTGGAAACCGAGAAAATGATTAAAAAAATTGAATAATTTCGAGTTAAATGATTATAAATTTATAATTTAACATAAAGAATTCTACTTCAAATCTCAGTTTTTTTGAGGTTAAAAAAATAATCGAAAAAAATCAATATTACGTGCTCATCATGATCTGAAACTTGGAAAAAAATACCGAAAAATTAAATAAACTCATTAAAAAGTAAAAAAATATTATTTGAAAATCTGATCAAAATCTAAAATTTTTCAAGGTTAAAAAAATTATGAATTTTTTTAAAAAAATTTAGTGAAAAGTGAAAAAAAGTGAAAAAAATTGAAGATCCATTCCAAAAAAATTGGTTGCAGAAAAAAAGGAAAACTGTACCTAAGTTAACTCCCCCTATCTCTGGTAAAACATTCTCAAAAAGCATTACACATCCAGTTTTTCAAGACCTCTATTATGTATCCATAAAAAAACGATGTTTCGATTCAAATCCTATTTTTCGGAAAAAAAGTTCTAGAAAAAAATTCAAATTCTCATAGTGTTCAGAACTTTCAAAGACCAAAAAAATGTTTCCCGTTTCATCAAATCCACAAATTGTGATCAATTTTTTTTGAATAACAATTTGTTGTCAAAGTATGGTTAGAAAGAAGTGCAGAAAAATTTGAAATTTTCAAAAAAATCAATTTCAATTTTTTTCCGTTTTTTTCAACCAACCAATTTTTCTGGATAAATAACTAAATTTTTGATCTAGATTTCCCAAAATGAATAATTTTCAGTAATTTCTGAAAAAAACTGACGCCTTCATGGGCGTCGACGACGATGACAACGCCATCAGCCAGACGGAACGCCGCCGTCATTTCGTCGGAAAAGTTGACATGTCCTGGAAAACACAACATTTTTTTCTTTTTCATATTTCTGCTGGTACCGGGAGTATCGATAATGTTGAGAAGATAGCTTTTGCTTCGACTATCCTGCATGACGATCGAAACCGGCATCGCCTTGATCGAACAGCCTCTGAGAAAAATTTGATTTTAACCAGTTTTCAAGATTTAATAATAACCAAACCTGTGTCATTCACCTACTTAACTCTGGTTTTTATTAAATCATATTTTTTATAACTGCCTGGGAGGTTCGTGAGGAACTTAATCGCCTTTTTATCTATTTATTATTTCTGCTATTTTTTTATCCACCCTCTTGTACATTATATTCTGCTTCTGCCTTTGAAAAATTGAGTCACTAAAAAGTTTTCAAATTCACTAGAAACATCTAGGAAAAAAAGTTATATGACAATCAAGCCTGCCAAAAACCCCATACACCTTCAGTACAGAACTCGCCTCGAAACCAATGCTTTTTTTTTGCTTCTTTGCAATTTTGAAGAGTCTCGAAGCGATTTCGCAAAGAACATTATTCATACTGTGTATCAAACTTTCCGTTCACTTTTCGCTTCGAAACGCGTTTTCAAAGATTTTTTGCCGTTATGAAAGGTTTCGAAAGCGCAAAAAAAAAAGGTTTTTTTTTTACTGTATATCCTACCTTCATTTCACTTTTCGCTCCGAGACCCGTGTTTTTTTCAAATATTTTTTGCATTTTAATAGCGTCACTAAGCTGAAACGTTTGTTCTACCGTATATCATACCTTCAGTTTACTTTTCGCTTCGAGACCAGTATTATTTTTCAGCTTTTTCGGCATTTTTTCTTTCACCGTCTTTCAGCCAAACCGTTATTTTACTGCGTATAATAACTTCACTTTTCGCTTCGAGACCCGCGTTCTTTTGGCATTTTTGAAGGGTCTCCAAGGGATACCTTTTAAATATATAGAAGTACTGTATGTCCTATCTCCTGTTTACTTTTCCCTTCAAGACCCATGTTTTTTTCAAAAAATTTTTTGCCTTTTTTGGAGCGTCACTAAACGAAAATGTCCTTCTTACTGTATAATCTACCTTCAGTTCACTTTTCGCTTCGAGACCCTTCTTTTTTTTCAGAATTTTTGGACGGGTCTCGAAGGGAAAGCCCAAAAAGGACTGTGGTTACTGTATATTTTTTTCGGTGTTAAAAAAACCAATTAAAAAACTATAAAAAGACCAATTCAACTTTAGAAGATTTTTCTACTCTAAAGTTATAACCTGTTCAAAGTGATTGCGCGAAATTCCAAACGGCCGTCAGAGAAAGTAAAAGATAACTTAATTTCGGAGAGTCAAAGATTGTTTGAAATTCGCGAAAACTACTTGAGAACATCAATGCGTCAGCAACTTTAGAAGAAACTTCAAACTTTAAATATTACTTTGAAACAGGGAACACATGATTTTCATCAACTTTTTCAAACCTACCTCTGTTGCTCGATGAACAACGTGTCGGTGTAACGAGTGTCGGCGTCTTCGGCGCGGAAAAACTCCGGATGCGTTTGTTCCATCAAACAATCGAGGAAGGTGGTCTGAAAATAATATTTAATGATCTAAAAAAGAGAGTTTACTGTATTTGAAATTTTAGACCTCAAAAGTTGTGTGAAAATCCAGCTCTCAAAAAAATTGATTATGTTTTTTTATTAAATGGCCGAAGTTTTTTTGAAAAAAAGAAGTCTTAAATGACCAAAAAAATCACTTAAAACGGATATTATTCTTTACACTTTTTGAACAGAATGGCAGATTTAAATAAACAAAAAAATTAGACATACTTTGATCAGGAAGAACGGACTAGTTTTCCCGAAAAAAATTCCTAATCCTACATTTTTTTCTACAATATTCAACTTAAAATCGATGAAAATCCTGAAAACGGCTATTCTTTTTCTAATTTCCACAAGCTGAGACTGTTGAAAATCTTCAAGACGCATACTTTCTCCGATTTCCACAAATTTGAGTTGATAAAGATTTTTTAAAACGCTGATTTCCTACAATTTTCATAACTGGGAACTGACAAAAATTCCTTTCTCTGCAATTTTCTGAAGTTTTCCCAAGTTAAAAACGGTAAAAATCTTCATAATGCCTATTCTTTGCTATTTTCTTCGATTTTCTTTACTTAAAATTGATAGAAACCTTCAAAATGTCTACTTTTCATTAATTTCTACAACTTCAAAGTGTTGAAAAACTTCGACGCATATTTTCTTCGATTTCTACGAAGTTGGAAAAAAAAATAACTCAATACGGCAGTTTTCCTGTTATTTCCTAAGATTATCACAACTCATAGACGATAAAAATCTTAAAAATGTCTATTTTTCACTAATTTTCAAAACTTCCAGTCATTAAAAATACTCAGTACGCTAAATTTCCCGCCGTTTCAGCCGAAATTTCTTTATTTGACTTAATTGATAAAATGCCTATTTTTCACTAATTCCTACAACTTCAAATCAAAAAAAATCCTCAAAACGCCAAATTTGCTGCCACTTTCTTCGATTTTCTCCACTTAAAATTGATTGAAAATCTCCAAGACGCCAATTTTTTACTAATTCCTCAAGACGCCAAATTTCCGGACACCTTTCCATGATGAAGATGACCAGCGATGGCGATATTTCTCATCACATGGGGACAGTCCATCAAATCCGCCAAGTACTCCTTTTTGTACACTGTCTGGGGCAGATTGTGCTCCACGGCCTGGAAAAATAACATTTATCTTCAAAATTATTATTTTTTGTTTTACTTGGAACTTTCTCTGGGTGACCGGCTTGATGATGGGCTCGGTCAGAGGCTGAGCGTCCTCCTCTTGGACCAGAGTTTCAACGTCTTTTCCGTAGACCTTGAGAAAAAATTAATTTCTTCTGAATTCAAAGTCAAGTTGAACTTCAACGGCCGAAGCGTAGTACTTCTTGTCTTCGTGGAGGACGATCTGGTTCTGAGGGATTTCCTCGCCTTCTTCGTCGTCCATTTGTTCCTAGATTGGTTATAAATGAAAAAGATTCACTTATTCTAGAAAAATAACATAAGATTTTTTTCATTTCCAGACCTTTGATCACAGAAAAAAATCCAGAAATCTCTCACAAAGAAAGAAAAAAATGACATGTTTCAAAAAGTTTACATTCCAAAAAAAGGCTTAAAAATGCGCTAGGGAAGAAAAATTTCTTTTTTTAATGTACTTTTTTTCACTTCCCTATGAAACTAATATATTAAATTACAACAAACGGGTCCTGAAAAAGATTTCAAAAAGTTATTTTTCCAGAACTCCAGAAAAGGAGTGACTGACAAGCCAAAAAAAGTCTCATTAATAAAAAAATAAAGCTTTCGGCAAATTTAAGAAGGATTCAAATAAACTACAGTCCTTTTTGTCAATATTTTGGAAAGGTCTTATGAAAAAAATAAAAAAACAAAATAAACTTTTTCTATAATAACTAACAGATAATCTGCCCTCTACTACATATAAAACGTCAGAAAACCCTTATAAGGTATTTGAAAAAAGAGTAAACACGGTCTTTTTCTCACATTTTTCAAAGAGAACTACTTTTTTTTTTGGCTTTTTGGCCGTTTTTTTCACATTTTATCTTTTTTCTTTTCAACTTTACACCTCATAAACAATAACTTTTCCGAGGGAAATCCTTAAAAAGGTTCCTCAGGTCTTTTTCAACTTCACTCGGTTACATGATCATTGAAAAAAAAAATCTCAAGCCGGACTTGATCATCGGCGTCGCTGCCCTCGTCGTCATCGTCTTCTTGGTTCGGCACTTCGTCAGCCTCATCGTCATCTGAATCGAGCTCAGGCCCGATGTAGTTACCGAACTCATCATACATATCGGGATCCATGTTGAGTCGTGTGGACACTTGAATAATGATACTGCACGCAAAACTATAATTTATACGAAAACAACGTCCGAAACTTTAAGAAAATAGCGTGACGAGAAAAATAAAACAGCTTGATTCCAACTTTTGAACAAAAAAGGTATTTTTGAAAACGTAACTTGTTCAAAATTCTTACTGTTTTGCTTCGGTAGTTACAGACAAAGTTCAGGAATGTTTCTAAACAGGAAAAGTCGTTTATACTGTTTTTCACGTTGGGAAAAAAGCCTGGCCCTCAAAAATCGGCAAAGATTTTGATAAAAAATAACTTGATTTTACAAAGAATTTTCGCTGTGAGAAAGCTCGAAAACGACAAGTAAGTTGAACATTACATACCATTGACAATAAACTTGAAAAAGATAACAGAAAAGTTTATTTCCAACAATTGAAAAGTAAAAAGAACTGAATTTCTTTTTCTCAAACTAAGCGATTCACATCAACTACTAATCTCATAATTTAATTATACAAGCACACTAACAAAAAAATGATAAAAAACAAGAACTGGGAAAGAATCTTGAAAAATAAAATTTGAATTTCGAAAAACCGCAAAAGCGCCAACGAAACCGTGCGGCATTTTGGGAGATCCCGCGGACGAATTGCAGATGCCCCACCCCTAAACTTCAACGTGAAAATTGAAAATTGAATCAAAAACCTCACTTCTTCTGTTAATTCGATGAGTTTTCTAGTCAAAAAAGCCATCAAATCCATTTCAAACAAGGTATCCTGTCGAATAAAAAGCTTGCGAAAACGAGGGTTGGCGTTGAGTCTGAAATTGTTTTTCTTTTGTTTTTTTAAATAACTTATTGAAATATTAACCTTTGAAAGACTATTTCGAATAAAAAAACAACGATACAAAATAGGTATAAATAGGCAGCGACGCGAAGAACCGGCTGAAGTCTTTTTAAAGTGACTGGGCGGTAATTGATTTGAGATTGGGTTATTTCAATTGTACGTGGCCGGTTGGTATATCTTTCCCACCATTGATTGAAAAGCTGAATTATACGAAAATCAGTAAAAAAAAAGAAGTTAATATTCACCAGTTCATAATTGTAGACCCTTAAAAGGACTCGATTGAAAATTTCGACGGTTTTTCTCGGTTCCTGTTTGCTCAAATAAAACGTCCCAGGGTAAGTTTGTCCAAATTTCGATTTCCAAATTACCGATTCCGGAGGAAATTTGCTAGCATCCTCAGTATTTATTCTGAAAATCTCCTTTCAAAGCGCTCCGAAATCAAGTTTTACTCAGCAAAAGTGCATTTTTGACGAATTTCCGGACAATTCGGGTCCGGCGAGGTTAATTGCGAATCAGCAAGGTAGGTTATAACATGGCGACTTCCGCAAACTTTATTGATAACTGATTGAAGATTCGTGTCCAGTTGAAGGTTCTTCGGGTTATTATTCCCGAATAACGCTTCTTTCTGGAAAAAAAAAAACATAAACCTTTGCACGAATTACCCTTGAAACATACTTGTTCGTCTTTCAAAAAGCTATCGCTCATGACGATCATATTCCACGTGTTACTTTTCAACTTATGGATGGTGTCTTGCATACTCCTGAACTTCAAACAACGATAAATCGGAAAAGACGGGTTGAAACTTTACTGCAATTACAAAAAAGTGTTCAAAAATTTTGTGAAAATTCCACCAAACTCCCAAAAAACAACGAGAAAAAAGCTTCAAGTTCCTATATAAAAATGGCAAAAAGGATTCGCAGTCTGCAGGATTCGAACCTACGCGGGCAGAGCCCAATTGATTTCTAGTCAATCTCCTTAACCACTCGGACAAGACTGCTGGCGACGGTTGGCGGCGCGCAGCTCACCCAATTTCTCGCGTCCGCATCACCGTGGCGTTGCCCTTGAAAGTTGCCGAGAAGAAAATCGAGGTGAATAAGATGGCCACAAGGTAGAATACGTTGACTAGAGTTCGTTTTTGAAGAAATGGCGGCTGGAGGATGGAAGAGGACTTTGAAAAGTCTGTCCACAAAACTCGAGGTCTGAAGGGTCAAAGTTGATTTTTATTTAAATTAATTATTTTTATTTTTAAATTAAATATGTTTTAAATTGTATATTACACTGTTTAAAGGATCATGGTAAATTTTTTCAAAGGTCTCAAAGCGAAGTTTGTTTTTTTTTTAAATGTAATTCGAGACTTCAAACTTCTCAGAAAGGAGTTTTGAACATACTAAAATTGAAAAAAAGTTAACTCACTGTAAAATAACCCTTTCCTTCAGTGAATAATCGCCGAATCGTAAATAAACAACACGGTTAAACTGCAGTTTCGTTGAAATATAGCCTAAATTTTACTTTATACTGAAAGATCTAAGTTTTTCTAAAACCTGAATTTTTCACAGGTAACATGATCCATTTGGAAGGAAAAAGCCGGAAATATGTTCGAAATAATTGGCCAATTGTTTGCTCCGCAAGCACAATCGCACATAAAAACAGCAAAATGACAAGAGCTTCGGGCTTGAAAACGAGGAAATCCGACATTTTCGAAGAATATGGTGAAAATCCGCTCTTGTAGAAGGTTTCCTGAAGATTTATAGTTCATTTTGAATATTTTTAAAATAGCGAAATAAACTTTAAAATAATCACACATTGTGGTGTAGCGAAAGTTTTTGGATACGATCCGTGCGATAGGAATATCCCTCAAGGGTTCCCATGATCGTTCCATTCTAAAAAAACAATTAGAAAAATTTTTTTCTATTTTTTTCCTAAATTTGATTGAAAAAAAATACCTGAATCATTCCCAATAAACCGGACCAATTTCCGTTCGCATCAGGTGTCCAAGAACCTGGAAAAAAATATCATTTCTTCAATTTTTTTGAAAAGTTAATATTTCTTCACGTCTTCAAACGATAAGAATAAAAAACCAACCATATTTATCGCTTCTCAAAAACTTCAGCTCTCGATTCATTTTTTCTGCGAATAGCCGCCACATATCAACGTAAATCCCTAAAATCAGCATTTACAATTTTCGTACTTTGCCGCCAGAATATTTTTAGATTTACCAAGTCTCGACTTGCACAAGTTTCTTGTTTTTTGAAAAAAAATACGCTTCAAAGTCAAAGAAAACCTTTTAAATCCGTAAAAAATTGCCCATTTTGGGACTTTGGCATTTTTTTTCTTACAAAAACTGACAGACTTTGCCGGTTGGGACTTGCAGGACCATAGAAAGATATTCCGACGAATTTTTAGAAAGTGAAATGACCTTAACTGTTAGATGTTAATGTTCAAAAACTGTCAAAAAAGGAATTTTTTCTTCAAAAATCGAAGGAAAGGATATTCCCCAGTCTTCTTTCTAAAGGATATGCGAAACTACTTGTGTGGTTTTATGTAAATTAATATATCAGATTCGAAAAAAAGAAACGATTTAAAAATTACCACTGAGCTTATGAGTGTACGGATTGCGAACAACATACGGAAAATACTCATTGACGTAGCCGATTGTCATGAACTGAGGCCCAGAGCCTTCAGTCATTGAGAAAAAAACGGAATAAAAATAAATATATTCCGTCCTTGGGGAACCGGAAACCTACAAATAATACATTCACAATGTAAATATGAAAATGTAACCTGGCTCCCCTTTGAAAATCCGCTCAGAATCATTTTTGGGAAATGAACGCAGGAAAAATTCTTCAAAATGTGATTTTTAAAAATCGTTGCTGACTAGTGAGCCCTTTGAAGGTGCAAAAGTGTTCCTCGTTTGCTAGAAACGAAAAAAAAAAACTTTTCGCTTCGATACCTTTATGAATTTGAATCATGCTCCTTTAAATAGTCCCGGAACGTCTTTTTAAAAAAACTCTTTTTAAGAGTTATAATCGCAAATCACGCGGATCCTCGACTAAAAACGAGAAAAAGCGAAGTCGAAAAATTTATACATATATTCATAGCACGAAAATTCAATAAATATTTCTATTAAAATCCAAAATTCATCACAACGGCGGAGCCGACGGGACAACTGGCGCTTTTTCGTCGATTTGAGTGGCCGGAAGGTTGTTATAGACCGGGTAGCGAGGCGCGTAAGGCTGAAAATTCCTTTTTTGGTATAGCCTTACTTTTTTTGCGAACCTCAAAAGGTTCTGAATCTTTCGTAGTACCAGCGATCCCGTAAACCGACTCTTCATATGACGGAGGGGCTGAAAATTATGTCATTTTTCTCTTTGAAAGTTATTTTATGAAATTTTCATTCTTTACTCAGGAATTCCTAAGTGCTCTCTATAGGGGCCGAAAAATTGGTCCCTCTAGGGGTGAAATTAAGATGGTCCCTATAGGGGTTTAGAGTCTGACCCCTTAGCCCCTAAAGCTCAAGTGGACCCTATAGGGTTCTTTCGATTTCATTCAAAAACACTTATTTATTCATTTTTTCTCATGGAAATACTTCTTCGCTTAGAGTTCATAACAACTAGCTTGTCTACCAACCCCTATAGGGACCACTTTTGCAAGCTTTAGTGGCCCCTATAGGGGTTGGTAAAGCGGTCACTAGAGGGGACCCTCCAAGGGGCTTTAGGTTACCCCTATACGGACCACTCTGGAGTTCCTAAGTACTGAGAAACTTTGAATGGGTCCCTATAGGGTTTTTCATAGCGACCTTTTGAGAGGAGGTTTCATGGGGACCTTCCAGTATATCCGCGGAAAACTTGATTCAAGCTGCGTAAACCCCGTTTACAGAAACATTTCTTCTTAAAATTACCACTAGGATATCCGTCTGAACTCGAAGAAGGATACGGCGGTGGAGCGTCGTGGTTATCGTTGACAACAGGATAACCGGCTGCCGCGGGAGGGGGTACGGTAGAAAACAGCTGGGTGACTTGTTGAATGGGCACCGTACCGATGAGTATCGACTGATGCGCCTTTAAAGTGCTGCTGAACGTCGCCGACGTCTCAACTTTCACCTGAAAAACTGCTTTTTGATGTAAATTTCTCTCTAAAAAAAACTGTGAATATTTATTTTGTTGAAAATTAGATTCTTTGAAAAATGTTTTTCATGAAAATAAACATTTCAAAAAGTAAACTCTTTCCTCGAATAATATACTTTTAAAAAGCGCTCTAATATTCTTTTGAGCCATTCCAAATGCAACCTTAGCTTCTTAATAAAAAAATCTGAATCTTTCTTTTTCCTAAATGACATAATTTCAGAGAAAAACTGCTAAGTTCAAAGAGTTTTCCCTAAAAATTAAAATTCAAAGTGAACTACTTCCCACAAAAAACTGTTAAAAGTGATCTAAGAGCCATTCCAAATGCGACCAGAAGCTCCTAATTTAAAAAAAAAACGAACAATCAGTTCATAATCCACGGAAATGATGGGGCAGACATTGAAAGACGGCACAACGGCTGGAATTCGAAGGTCGACGGCTTGTTGAAAAGCGTTTTTCGGGGAAGAATTGATTTTCTGAAAGATTCCAACATTTCAAAAAAAAAAATGATGCGGTTCACTGATCGCTTCAGGACCATTTTATAGTAAATTCGATAATTTTTAGAGTTTTGTATCAAGTTGGTGATTAACTAAGCAAAAAATTGCCTGCTCCAAAAAAATTTTCTTTCAATTTGAGTCCGAACATTTTGAAAAATCTCTTAAGGTATACAAATCTTCTTAGGGATGCCAGAGTGGTCCCTAGAGTGGTTAGGGGGAAAAGCAGTCCGCATAGGGTTCAAAATAGGGCTCCCTAGAGGGCTAAATTTTGTGTGGCCCCTATAGAGATTTAGGTTTTCTGAAGGGGAAAATCGGAAATTTTAAACTACTACAGAACGCCAGAGTGGTCCCTAGAGCGGTTTGGGAAAAAAAATTGACCCTGTAGGCGAAAGAATAGTGCTCACTAGAGGACTCAAAATCAAGTGACCCCTGTAGGGGTTTAGGGCTAATCCTAACTCCCTGAATATTTAGAGGTCCTTTACCTTTCCGCTATGCTACCCCTATAGGGACCACTAGCATGCTCCCCTAGAGTGGTCACTTTTGAAAGCTTCAGGGCCCCTATAGGAAGAGGTAAGGTGGCCACTAAAGGTCAACTTTCAAGAGCCTCAAAAGTTGCCCCTCTAGGGACCGCTCTAGAGTTCCTAAATTTGTACTGTTGCTTTTTCAAGTCGAAGAATAATTTTTCAGATCATTTGTCTCAAAATAGGAATGAAAATAACCAGTTCACACTTGGCGACAGTCTTGTCTTCACACCGATGCTCGTGGCTTCCCTTCACGATCGTATGGACCGTCGAATGACCCCCGAAACTGTTCCTGTAGGCAACGTAGTTCGTCCTTTGTATCAACTTGGCGCGCAGCTGAACTTGGAAAAAGTTTGAATTTCACAAATTTCTACAGTTTCAGATTTTGAATGTAAAGTATAGTCTGTGTGCCACGAGTTGAAATTTAACAGAACGACATTCCGCCGTTCCGCTGCGTGCGTTCGCGAAGCGTCTTTAGAATCTAGGTCACGCTTTCAATTGATTTTTATTGCTGTGGAAGCACATGAAAGTAGAGTACCACGATAAAACAAAATAAAAACTAAAAGCGCGACCAAGGTTCGCAAAGGCGCGCAGCGGAACAGCGGAATGTCGTTCTGTGAAATTTCAAGTCGTGGCACACAGACTATACAATGACGTCATTTGAAAACGCTCTATGGAAGGCTCGCTATAGTCCGTTTCTCGCGACTTGAAAGGGCGGGACTTCTCTGCGCCCTCCTTATCTCTCGACGTCCCTCTCATGTTCACGTGTTATTTCCACGTTTCTCTGACCTCGCCGGTGAGGGAACAGAGAGAAGCAGACATGCGACTGTCAAGTCGCGCCGGACGAACTGTATCTGGTTGATTAATCGCGCCATTAGGGGCGGAGCTTGAGCGACGACTCGACTGAGAACTACTTTAGTGGCCACTTAAGAGGTTTCTCAAGGACTACTTGAAGACAGCTCTAATGTAGCCACCAAACCCATCTAAATATTCAAAGTCTTACCGAAGTGACGGGTTTTGAGCTCTCATTGTTGATGGAGACGTACAGGCGAAGAATCTCGCCGGGAACGAAACCGGTTTTCGGGACTTGTACCTGAAGTATATCACACCATTTCCATAACCAACTGTTCTTTCAAAAAATAAAAACTGATCAAGTGACGTTAGAAAAACGAACTTCAATTTTCAAACCGGATTTTTTAGGGTCACAAGGGGAGGTAGGACCCGCGAAAACGGTAATTTTGATATCAGCCAAGAATTTAGATTTTTTTAAAGCCTTCCTTATATTCATGAGAAATCTTCTTGACTTTTTTTTGGGCGGGGGACGTGGAAATACGGAAATTCTGATTTTCGACCCGGTTAATTTAGGGTCAAAATGGGAAGTGGGACCCGCAAATAGGGTATTTTTGGGGCCAGTAGAAAATCTAGAAGTTTTTCAACACCTTAAAATCTTTTGTTCATGAAAAATCCTCCTAATGCATTTTTTTTGGCCGAGGGGCATGGAAAGCCGAAAATTCCGTTCTTCAAAGCGGATTTTTAAGGTCACAATGCGAGGTAGGACCCACGAGTAGAGTGTTTTTGGAATCAACAGAAAATCTAGAACTTTTTGAAAATCTTAAAACCTTGTCTTCATGAAAAAATGTTTCTAACGAATTTTTTCGCAGAGGGACATGGAAAGTCGAAAAATCCGTTTTTCAAAGCGTATTTTTAGGATCAAAATGAGTGTTATGACAGGCGAAAAGGGTATTTTTCGGGATCAGCAAAAAAACCTGGAATTTTTTCGGACCTTAACATCTTGTCTTTATAAAGATTTTTTTCTAATGCATTTTTTTCGAGAGACGAGGAAAGCCTGAAACTCCAAATTTCAAACCGGATTTTTTTAGGTTCGCAAAAGTTTATCGAAATTTTCATTTAATTCAATAAATCTGATCTTGCTTGCCTCAGAACTTCTTTGAACCGTTATAAATCCTTTGAAAAAAATGCCGCCTTATATATAATTTCCATTTTGAAGGGGGTCGAACTTGATTTTTCATATGAATTTAGCGTTACAAAATACAAAATTTGATACAGAAAATGCAACTCACATTCATGGAAACGCGACCACGGCGAAAAAGTGCACCGGTTTCTTTGGAATCGCTAGTTATTGAAGCAAAACGAGCCTGTGGAATCGAGTTCAGGTCAAAAGTTGGTATCACTGAAAAAATAATTCTTTCAATATTCCGTTATAGCTGATCCCGCTAGCTTCTCAGGAATTTTCCGAGGTTCAAAATTCAATAAAAAGCTTTCCTTTCAAGATGAAGGCCTTTATCTGTCTATGCGCCTTTAATATAACTGAAATTTTAGCCTTAATTAAAGGCGCATGCACAGAGACAGGTCGCACACATTGAACGGAAGGGTTTCTGTAGCTTCGAGGAAGATAAAAATCGTGAAAAACTGGCGCTCAATAGACTATATGCTATATAGAACTTTCTAGAAAGTTTTCCAAGGTTTTTAAAGGAGCATAGATGAATTTATTAAAGCAAACCCGTTTTCAGAAATCATCCTGCGCCTTTAAAAAGCAGAGCAAAACATGACGAATTTTACCTGAAAAACACTTGTTGGCAGTCTTATCGAAACGCCAAGGTCGATCCAGTTCGACTTTAACCCGGTACCGAATATAACCGTATAACCCTTAATTACGATTTTCTTTCAAGCTTTTTATAAAGTTCCTACCTTCATAACTTGGGGGGCAATTCAAAGGAAGAACAAAAGAGAAGGGGAAATTATAGTTTCCAGGCAGGAGCGTGTTCTGAAAACGTATGATTCGCGTCAAAGTTTTACTCCGGAATTCCAGAGTGGTCCCTATAGGGGTTAGGAGGGAACGTCAACCACGACCAACCCTGGCCGCAAAGTGCCAAGTTGCGCGCGTTCGGAGTGAAATCTCGAATTGACAGGTTTGGATATTAGAACTTTTTTGTGGTATTGTTTAAGCCATACTTCTAGACATATTCCATAAAAGTAATTACGATGCGATTCTATGCCGACGGCCAGGGTGACCAAAAAAACCGACTTTCCATACACAAAAAATACCGTAACTCGAAAATTCCTACAGTAACCCAAGTTGGTATGTAAATTAAAATTTCCTAAAATTTGATTACCTATCGATTGATATATCACTTGCCTAATAAAAACTCTTCAATACTTAGATACGCGGGTGCCCACCTGCCTATCGTAACCCGGCTACAGTAGGAGGAAATGGCTAAAAAAAAACTTGTGTCCGCATTCCTGATGATAGGTTTTCGCTGGATGAAGTTTCATCAAAATCAAAAAATGAATTTTTTTTTTGTACCCTTTGTTTTTGACAGTTACGGTAAAAGAGGTAAACTAAAGATGGTCCCTATGGGGTTTTAGGATCTGACCCCTTAGCCACAAGAGCTCAAGTGGACCCTATAGGGGTCTCACGATTCTATTCAAGAAACGTTTATTTATTCAGTTTTTCCTATGGAAATGCTTCTACGCTTAGAGTTCATAAGAAAGATCGACTAGCACGTCCCCTATAGGGAGCACTTTTGGAAGCTTTAGTGGCCCCTCAAGGGGTTGGTAAAGTGGTCCCTAGAGATGGCCCTCCAAGGGCCTTTGGGTTTCCCCTATAGGGACCACTCTGGAGTTCCTAAATACTGAGAAACTTCGAAGGGGTCCCTATAGAGTTTTTCATAGCGGCTTCTTCGTTTAGAGTTAATAACGACCATCGCCTAGCATGTCCCTGTAGAAGCCACTTACTAAAAACCCTATAGGGGTTGGTAAAGTGGTCTCTGAAGAAGACCCTCCAAGGGTCCCTAGGGTTGTCCCTATATAGGGACCACTTTCCTAAGAAAAAAAAGAAATTTGAGAAATATCGATCCAAAAACTCACACCAGAACCACTAGTCCACAAAATCGACTCCCCCGAGGCATACATCACCGTTGCCGAATATGGAATCGATCGAGTTTGAGTTTGGGATTTTCTGAATATTTCCCAACCATACAAAAAATACTTCAAAAAAAGCCAAAAAATCCAAAGAAACGGCCAAAAGAAGCTCACCCATCGGATCCCCTGAAAAAAAAATTAATTATTTATTCATGGAAAATTAATTTTTACGTTGTTGAGTAGGATTCGGAACGAGTCCAGTGTGTATAAGCCCTGCCATCTACTATTACTTTCAATTGTCTGGCCTGAAAAATGTAATTGAGCAAAAAAATCAACTTCAAAATGGGTTTTTTTCTCGAAAAAATTATTATTTTAACAATTTTCTATGGATGATAGTCATTATACTTTTGAAACTTGTCACGAAAATCAAGAAAATTAGTAAAAACTCATCAAATTCAAGATTTTGGTGCAACGGTTTCCAAAAAGAACAGCCTTAAGTCTCGTAGTATAGAAAATTCTTCAAAATTAGAAAAGTTCCCCGTTTTTTGACGAACTTGAGGCACAAACGTTAATGTTCATTGGAAACTACTTTCTGAGAAATTTGTTTTGGGAAAATTTTTAGTGGCCACTATAGAGGCTCGGCAAGGACTACTTGGAGTGGACACTATTTTCCGTTTTAGTGGCCACTTCAGTAGTTTTCATTAAGTATTCCATTGACCCCTAAAGTGGTCACTAAAATCTTTAGTGCTCTAATAGTCACACTTAGACCTCTATAGTGGCCACTAATTTCTAACCCCTTAAGTTGCCACTAATTGGACTACTAGAGTGGCCTCTAAAACGTCAAAACCCTATAGACGCCGCTAAAATTTTTCCCAGTCCCTTTTTGACGTACTTTTTGATCCAAATCAGCGTAAATGTTGATCAAAAAAATTTTCCAGAGGGTTTGGATTTGATTAACAATCTCAAATTACTTGTCACAAAAAAGAAAAAAAAAGTGAAAAATCCAACGCAATATGATAGTTTCAAAAATTATTTTTCAAAGTTCAATTTAAAAAAACGCGTCAAAATTAGAAAAAAATCCCCGTCTTTTTGACAAACTTGTGAGCCAAGTCAACATAAATATAGCTTTTAAAAAAATTTTTTTGATGCTTTTTCCGAGAAGACCTTTTTTTCTTACATATATTCATTTTTAGCGACTTTTTCCACATTTTTTTGAAAAATGTTCCTTAACCTTCATGGACTGGCAAGTGTTCATGACGACTTGGCCGGTCACTGATTGACCCGGGAAAAAAACGGCCTGCGGCGAATCGAAAACTACTCTCAACGAATCCATTTCCTGAAATTATCATGTTTCAATGGATCTTTTTTTAATTGAAAACTTCTAAAAAGAAGTAGAAACTAAATAAAAATTTTTTTGAAAAAAAGCGAAAAGACGCGAAAAAAAGTACTAAATCCCCAACATTTCTTCAGGTTTTTTACATGAAATAACCCCCTTTTTTTCAATTTTTTTCGAAGCTGTTTATAATTTTTCAATGAAGTAATTTTTCTATGCTGACAATCAAAAAAACGAGAAAAAGCCAAGACAGGAACTCAAAAAAATTCAGCAAAAAAATGCACTGAAACAGTGCTTGAATCGCTATTTGTTCAGCTTATTTCTTGATTTGCGCTTTTTTTCGAAAAAAAATTGATGATTATTGATTTTTTTGAACTTCTTATGATTCAATTTTTTTAATTTGAAACCAGGAAAAAAACAAAAAAAGTATAAAAAAAAGAAAAAAATTTTTCTAAACTCTGATAAGTTTTAATTTTTCACTTTTTAAAAGTTATTCGAGGCTCTTAAATTTTTTTAAAAGTGGAAGATTAAGTAAATAATTATTTAAAACAGTATGCAACGAACAAACCTATTAATATTAAAATTATTATTAACAGTTCGAGAAAAAAATTCTGCACAAAAGTTTACAAGAAAAAGGCTGATCGATATTTATCTAGCTTTTTTTGAGAAAATTTCAAAATTTTTCCAGCATTTTTTTCTAGCATTCAATAAGTTGAAAACAGAAAAACCACAGAAACGACAGAAAAAGATGAAAATCACGTGCACGGATGTACGTAAACTACACTCGAGCAAGGCCAAAACGCGACCAACGACCAGCTTTTTTTCGATTTAAAAAAAACAAAACGAAGAAAATTAAATAAAGGAAAAAGAAATATTAATTTGTTTAAAGCAAAATGAATAAAAGCCGAGCTTCAATGTAAATATAAGCAGTTTTGAATGTTGTTATATCAGGTCTGAGCAAACAAAAATGGCGTCGTCGTGACGTAAAGTCTGTTCGCTGGGAAAACGTTTCGAAAGTATCAAATTGACTCATGTTTTCTTTACGGTTTATTGGACTTGCCGAATGATAAGGAAAAGAGTGTTTGAAAACTAAAAACTATCAAATATATAAACTAAAATTGAATTTTTAATATAAAAATTGGCGCTTTTTTCCATATATTTGACAGTTTTAAGTTCTCAAACGCTTTTTTGTCTTTCTGGGAAACTTTTAGTGGCCACTATAGAGGCTCGCCAAGTACTACTTGGAGAGGACACTAAAGTGGCCACTTTAGTGGTTTTTCATCCAGTATTCCTTCCAGTAACTCTGATAATTTTAAAACAAACAGATTGGACCAGTTATTTTGATCCATTGACTCCTAAAGTGGCCACTAAAATTTGTAGTGGTCTAGTAGCAGCACTTAGAGCTCTATAGTGGCCACTTATTTTTAACCCCTCAAGTGGCCACTGATTTGACTACTATAGTGACCACTAAAAACGTCAAAAACCCTATAGTGGTCACTGGAAATTTTTTTCCAGTTAATTATCATCTGGCAAATGTAATAAAAATCAATGTGTAAAAAAATTGATGTAAAAAGCGCCCATGAGAAAAAAAGTATTTTTTTATAAAATATTTTCGACAATTATAAAAGGTACGTACTCAAAAAGATACCATTAAATTTCACTTTTCAACCTGTTTTTTTCTCCTAAAAAAAAAAAAAAACAGAAAAAGACAGAAAAAAAGGCAAGAAAAAGCTCACCTCTGTTATCCCTGGAAGAGAAGTTTGATGCTTACTAGGGAATGGTCTCCATTCGCAGTGGGACTTCTAAATTTAGTTTTTAAAAATCAAGAGACATCGAATTTTTCGACTTTTGAGGATCCATAACTTTTTTCACAGACGTATTGGGCAGTTTTTGAGACCAGATTTGGAACCAGCGTGAAAAACTACATCTAGTGAACCTAGTCTCATTCAGAAGTTCCCTAGTTAGAAGGCGACAAAGCATTTCTGAACTGAAGATTCACAAACAATCATTCCTGTTTCAAAAAATGAGTTTAAAGAATGTAGATTCGAAAGCAAACAATACAGAAAGGCGAGAATCAAATGCACATTGCATATATTTTTTATTAAGCAATGAAAATATTTGAAAAGTTGGCAAGAATTCATAAAATGCGGTCGATTTCATCTTCATAACGATGGCGCTGAAGGGATGACAATTTCCCGCTGTGCCAAATCGTTGAAAAACCGGGTACCGCGGCACAAATGGCTGCAAATTAATGAAATATTGATTTTACTCAAAAAAATTTAATAATTGGAATTCAAAAAGGGTTTAAAAACAAGAAACTGCTGAAAGCGCGAATTTAAAATTTTTATATTTTTACGATATTCAAAAAGGAAGCTTTCTGTATTTTTTTGAGAGAGGCAAAAATTGAATGAATCTACAGAAAAAAAAGATAAGTTCACGTTAAGCAGACCAGAAAAACCGTTAAAAAAATCCAATAAATCATATTGAGTTATTTGAAAGTTAAGAAAACCAAAACTTTTTCCAAAAGGACCAGCGAAAAACTAAAATTAGAAGTTTGAAAGTTGCTTGACTGAAGTTTTATAATAAATTGATTAAAGTGATTACGCGAAACTCAAAATGACCGTTAGAGAGTGAAAAAATTTCCAGTGGCCACTATAGGGTTGTGACGTTTTAGTGACCCCTATAGTAGTCAAATTGGTGGCCACTTAAGGGGTTAAAAGTTAGTGGCCACTTTAGGGGTCATTGGATCAAAATAACTGGTCCAATCTGTTTGTATTAAAATTATCAGAGTCACTGGAAGTAATACTGAATAAAGTGGCCACTAAAACGGAAAATAATGGCCACTATAGAGGTGGCTTGTGTCCTTTCCAAGTAGTCCTCGCCGAGCCTCTATAGTGGCCACTAAAAATTTTCCCAAAACATAAATTTCTCAGAAAATATTTTTCGATGAACATGAACGTTTGTGCCTCAAGTTCGTCAAAAAAAAAGGGGAACTTTTCTAATTTTTGAAGCATTTTTTTCTATATTACGAGACTTGAGGCTGTTCTTTTTTTGGAAACGATTGCACAAAAAAATTTTTGAATTTCATGATTTTTTTCCTTTTTATCTTTTTTTGTGACAAGTTTTAAAAGACCAATGACTGTCATCCAAAAAAATACTTGAAAGAATAATTTTTTTGAGATTTGGCGAGCCACTAAAATTTTTTTCCCGCCAGAGATAAAATTCCCGTAAATTATTTTGAACACGGCACAATCCAGAATCACGGAAACAGACTGGTGATTTTTGAAAAAAAAAACCTCGATCAAATCGGTATCTTTTGTCGTTCCAGCTTCACCATACACACATTCTTCATAGGACGGAGGGGCTGAAAAGTAAATTTCTCACGGAAAAAAAAAAGAAATTCAAAAGAAGCAAGTACTTGTTTGAAAATTGAACAAAAACCTGAAGGAATCGCGCCGTTTCCAGGATAAGGAGCTTCAGGAGAAAGGGACGAGATTCTCAATGGATATGTGCCAATCATGACCGGAAACTCAGTTCTGAGGGTACTACAGAACATGGAGCTGGACTCGGCTCGAACCTGAAGAAATCCCGATTTTTCGGAGGAAGTGCGTAGAAATGCAATGAAAAATGTCTACGAAGAAATTTTCTAGTTCAGAAAAATTGGTATTTTGCTCCTTTTCTTCTCGGGAAAAAAACGGAATGGTAGATAATGGCCGCTTAAAGGGAGGGGCTCAAAAAAGGCAGCAAAAAAAGTCCCTTTATCGAGCCTTCCGTTTTTTCTGTGATTTTAAAGGCTCAAGAATTGGCGGAAAAAGGGAGAGGCAGCAAAAATGGTGCATAACAGCTGATGAAATGGAGCAAATAGGCAGCAAAAAGGAGCCTTCGTCACCCTAGAAGGAACATTTCTATGGAGCCTTTTTCCACCCTTCCCGACGTTCAAGAATGACTTAACAAGGGAGGAAGTTTTACTTGACGGTTTAGAATCTTTCTATAAATTCACTCAAACCATTTCTGAATGTGTATATAAGGTTCCATCAATGTCGCAATCTACGCCAGCTTCTTTTTTTCGAGGTAATTAATATTGAAGGTCAAAAAATTAGGCTTAAAGTTTATATTTCGCAACATTAAAAAATGATTTTTCAATGTTGAAGTTTGAAAAATTAGGCTCATAACTTATATTTTTCGAAAAATCATATCTTAAAAATTAGAAGCTCGCGCAGGTAGCCACTATGCGGGATCTTCATCTAGACCTCTGATGAGTTATTGAGCAAATTTATAGAAAATTCCAAGCCAAAAAGTAGAATGACCTCTCTTGTAAGAGGTCTGCAAAAAATCTCCTATATATTCCGTTAATCATAAGACTGTTTTTTTGATTATCATGCATTTTTCAAGAACTTTGTTTTTTTGTTGCTTTTTGACCTAGGTGAAAAGAAAAACAAAGGTTTTTTTTCGTCAAAGAGCTCTAGTCGAGCCCTGAAAAATATATTCTTCATGTTTTCCCCCTCTCGATCAATTCCAAGAGCCTAAATTTAGCCGGATGTCCTTCAGAACCCTTTTAAAATTTGACCCAGTGAGCATAAATTTCGTCAAGGTTGGTGAAGCGAGAGATTTTTCCAAGGCGGTCTGTTCAAGCATCGTTTAATTTCGCATATTTTGTCACCGGCGGTGTCTAAGTTCGACTTTCATTGAGTTTTATGGGTGGAAAACTTGAAAAAGTCGCTCGAAATAGTAGAAAGGAGTTGAAAATTGAAAATTAGTTAACTTTTCAAAACTGTTTTGCCTGAAAGAAGAACAACGTGATATAATTAAACTGAAAATTGCGAATATAAAACGAAAAAAATATCCTGAAATAACCTAATATTATATATCAAAATTCAACTAAAAACATTATTTAAAAAGCGTTTAGATAGTTAAGAAAAAAACAAACCTGCAAAAAAAGTACTGAACAAAAATGATCGGACACATGTCGAAGGTCGGCGCCACGGAAGGAATTTTGAAATCCAGGACTACATTTGCTTTAGTTCTCGGTTCTGCGTTAAGTTCCTGAAATTTTAATCAGAAACCATTTAAAAAATATTAAGGACTTTAAAAGACTATCACGGCGTTTTTTTCGGAACGCTCCGTGAATTATGGTAGTTATGGTGTAAACACACCGGGACGCATTATCGCATACTCCAAAAAAATGGTTTTTTTTTTCAATTTTAAAGTTTGAAATATTAAGCTAACGTGATAGTAACTTGATAATGACAATAACTCTAAAAAAAGTCAAAAAAATTTTTATTAATCATTTTAAAAAGTTGATTAAAAAGCGCATAATCCTGCAGTAAATCTATGGTTAGTGCGTGTGTTCATAAGAAAAAAAGGATCCTGCACAGAAAAAACTACTGTAGTCGTACGATTTTAGCGCCCGACCCTGATCTTTCATTTCTGAATTTTCTTTCCGTGCTCATGAAATTCGGGAAAAGTAAGTTTTCCCCGCTTTTTTGAAAAGTATTACAACAAAAACGACTTCTGACCATTTTCTTCTCGATCACCGTCTTATCGTCAATTTTCTTCTCCTCGTCGGAAAAAATGCTGGAAGTGGAGAAAACGAGAGTGGAACGGCGCGCGATATAAGTCGTTCTTTGAACGAGTTTTGCTTGTACCTGAAAAAAAACTTCCTTATTGAACGAAAAAAAAAATCAAAAAACATAATCAATCTCCCTTGAGCTCAGATTATTAACAAAAATGGTGATGTACAAGCTCTCGCCAGCTACAAACCCGGTTTTCGGAACTTGAACCTGAAAAATCCTTTTTTCTATTTTTTGAAGGAGAAGTAGAGAAAAACCGAAAGAGAAACTGTTCCGCGACGGCAGCAGATGGCACCCGTGTCGCGTAAATCTTCATCTTGGGCTGGTCGACATACCGCGGGATACAAGTTCAAGTCAATACTTGGGACAACTGAAAAAGAACAAGCTGTTGGAAGTAAGAAAAAAAAAATCTGGAAAAAAAAGAAAAGATCCACAGTCAGTCTGAAGAGGAGTTTACTCATAAGTCAAAAATTAACCAAGTTTGAACGTCTTACATGAACATAATATTAATAAGAAACATTCAAATTGAAAAAAAGAAGCCAAAAAAAAAAAAGAGAAGCTGTGCTCCGCTGAAGCGCGCGCATTTGGAGATTTCAAATTTTTCTTATTGAATATTTTTTTCAAGTTTTTTTAAAAAAATAATTTTTTTAAAGTTCAACATGATTTCTTAAATAATTATCAATTTGAGCGACTGCTGATTTCAATTTCAACACGTGAAAATCAAATTGAACGATTAGAAAGTTTGTCTAAATTCTGCAAGTCAGTGAGTCTTTTTTTAAACCTCTGTTGGATTTTTGTGTCTATTTTTGATAATTATTAAGCAATTTTGTAGCTTAAGTGTTGCTAGATATGAAAAAAAAGAAGATATTTATGCCATTCCAATTTGGAAGCTAAGAAAACCTCCGCCTCAGTTTCTATCCAGCTTTTTTTTTACCTGTGAAACATTTATCAGCGGATTTATCGAATCGCCACGGTCGATCGATTTCCGTTCTCACTTTGTATCTTACATAGCCGTGTTCACCTATAATCAACTCTTTATTACATGTTTTTAGCATTTTCTAGACCTTCAAAACTCGGCGGACAACTTGCATTCAAAGTGAAGGAAAACGGATAATCATACTGTCCTGCGGGAAGTTGATCCTAATGTTTATTTTTAAATTCATTTCTCATTCTTATTTTCAACAAACAGTGCCGTCTTCGCAATACCAGAGGATCTTTTCGCCTTTCAAATAATCCACCGAGGCTTGATAATCGATAGTTCTAGTTCTCCTTCGAGATTCCCTACAAAATTGAAGATTGACCAGTAGTTTTTTCTCGGCTACTCACCCATTGATGTCCCTGAAATCAAAAATTCAGATTTTTCGTCTTAAATTTCCACAGAAACCTGTCATAATTGGTTTCGGAACGAGTCCAGTGCGTGTAAGCCTTTCCATCAAAAGAAACCGTCACTTTTCGAGCCTGGAAATTCATTATTTTTCGAAAATGAAGATAATTACCTTAATTGGCTTTTCTAATTCCAATAGAATGCGGCCGCTGACCGTCTGACCCGGAATATAGACGGCTTCCGGTGAATCAAACATCACTCGTAACGTGTCCATTTCAACTGAAAAAAAAAAGTCGGGTTTGAAATTTGGAAAAGCTCTAATTTTGCCCTTTTTTGGAATTATCAACATCTCTAATTATACAATTTTGATTTATTCCAGTTTTAGAAGGTTATTAGATTCCCGTACATCTTTTTCAGTAAAGAAAAATCTTGATTTTACAGAAAAAACAGATTGAAAAAATCCATCAATCAATATTACTTTACTGTTTCGGAGTTATTTAAAATTTTACGTAGTCTTGAAGTGTTATTCTAAGCAGAGCAACTTTTTTAAAAACAATTGGGATTTTTTCAGCGTTATTTTTCAGTTCAACTCTTCTGAAAATTCAAAATAATCAAGGCATCTTTTCAGGTCTTGGAACATTACGAGACAAAAAAAGTGAACCTGAAAATTTTTTTGTGCCTAGGCTTTCAAAAAAATTTGAAATTCGCATCAATTTTTTTCCTACTTGGAACTAAAAAAAAGTAATTATATATATTCGGATCAAAAGCCTTTTTCTCTCTTTTTTTGTTCAAAAAAATTCTGTACGGTTTTTCTCATAAATCCTTTAAAAAAAGACCATAAAAAAACGATTAAAGGAACATAAATTGGACTTGGCTTGAGAAATGGCTCTCCTATGCGCCTTTAAAGCTTTAAAATGTTTCTGAAAAAAACTATAATTTCCCCAAGGCGACCTTTTTTTCCAGGTTTGAAAAAAATTTTGTATCAGACTAATGCTAGCTTTACACAAGGAAAAGTGGTAGGTTACGGTAGAATCCTCATTTTTTCTATTTTTTTCAAATTTAAAACTGCATTTTTCCAGTTAATTTTAAAGTAAAGCTCTAATAAATAAAGCCTTACTTCAAAACAAATTTGAAAAAAAGTTATTTTTTTCTACCTTCCTACCACTTCTTTAACCTTAAAAAAAGTAGATAAAAAAATCAAAAAGGTGATCTCAAAAAGGAAGTAACCACTGGAAAAGGAGAAAGAAAGGCGTGAAGTATAACCGAGACTCGAGGCCGGAGGGCGTTCGACAGCGCAACTGCCTCGCTGTCTGCTCCCTCCTGGTCGTCCACGCTCTCTCGCTCACTCGCAAAGATCCGTTCACTTTTTTTTAAATGGACGAAGAGTGTGTGTTGTTTGGAATCGACCTTTTAACAAGGTCATGATTTTTTTTTAAAGGCGCATGGCGGAGCCGGAAAAGAGTTGCGAGACCTTTTGCGATTTTTTTCAAAAAATGTAGATCATTTTTAAATTTTTTGATTCATTAGTCAGAAAATTGGAGGAAAAATTTTTCCATTTTTTAATTTTTTTCTCTTTTTGGATATCAGTTACTTAGGAACTCCAAAGTGGTCCCTATAGGGGCTCCCTTTACCAATCCCTATAGGGACCACTAAAGCTTGCAAAAGTGGTCGCTATAGGGGACATGCCACTCCGGAATTCCTAAGTAGGTTAGTAGTGCCAGGAATTGTCTTTTTGTTTTTTTTTTTTACTTTGAAAACCTAGTTTTTTCTATCTTCCTACCTGTTTTTCACCGATGTTTAAGCAAGATGAAGAACATCAAGTCAAAAAAAGTAATACACCCATTTTTTTTTGGCATCACCAAGCCGATTTTTTTAGCTTTCTCGTTGAACTACCCAAGAGGAAAAAAATCTAATTTTCAAATGAACGATTTTTTCCAAATGATGAATGTTCATTTGAAAAAAACCCGCGTGAATGAAGTTTCAATGATAACATAAATTTCTTTTTATAATATTCAAGGTTGTTAGATGAAGCTAGGATAAAATCTAAAAAAATTGATGACTTTGGGTTTTTTTCACAAACGAAGAGGATCACCGGGGGCTTCAATTATTCTGAAAATTATTTTTCGATAAATCAATTTTTTCCGCACTTTTTTTGAAGGAATATGCGGTTTTTAAACTGCTCATGTACTTTTAAAGTTTTTTGAGAACAAAGAAGATTAATCGAATTCAGAAAAGTCAGAAATTTTTTTTAAAGGTCAAATCAATTATGAGCTTGAATTTGATGAAAACCAGAGTAACAGCTCTTTTGAAGCTAATTAGAAATATTGCTCAATATGGTCTTCAAACGATAGGCGAGATAGCAAATAAAAAGAGAGGTTTAGACGTGTCTGTGGGAGCCATTCCAAGTGCGACAGCGTCCTCGTGACGATTCATCCCGAGACTTTCCCACTCGGCGAGGTAACGCGCCAAAGTGAGAGGTTTTGACATTTCTGTAGCTAATACGTTCATTCCAAGTGGGACCACGGTCCTAGAAGTCGTCACGAGACATCAAAAAAGGTCCTGACGCAATAACAAAAGAGACAGTGCTTGGTTTGTGGAGAGCGCAGACAGGCCACGCCCCCTCAAGCAGTGAATCGACTATAACAGTTCGTTTGAGTCTGATTTGAAATATTTTCAAATGGTCCCAAATGATAAGTGAGATAGGGCATGAAAACGAGAGGTTTAGACATTTCTGTAGCTACTTCGAGCCATTCCAAGTGCGACCACGAAAGCTTCTTTCCTGAGACATTTGTTGGAATTCTAGTAAAAATATACAGAGAACTTTTTAGGGACCTGCTCTTCGATATTTCATCCCAGCGGTCGCGAAAAATTCGTTTACCGGTTGATTAAGAGGGCCTTAAGATTGGCGAGATAGCACACGGAAATGAGAGGTTAGACAGTTCTGGAGCGTTTTTGAGCCATTCCAAATGCGACCACGAAATTATAGGTCCTGACCATGCTTTCAGAGACTTTAACACAATCGGCGAGATAGCACACAAAAATGAGAGGTTTAGAGGTGTCTGTAGCGACTTTGAGCCATTCCAAGTGCGACCATGAATTTATAGGTCCTGACGATGCTTTGATAGCTTCTTTTGCTTTTTTTCCTTGGACATCTGTTGACTATAACACCATCGGCGAGACAACACACAAAAATTAGAGGTTCAGACATTTCTGTAGCGTCTTGGATCCATTCCAAGTGCGATCACAGTCTCACAAGTCCTGGCCTTTTTTTTTTCACGTTAACAGCTTCTCTTGTCCCTTCTCCTCGAACATTCATAGAAATATCAGTTCCAATGTGTTTTTGGACCTTCTTTTTGATAGTTCATCCCGTCGCCTCCGAGTCAAAGACAAAACAAAAGAGCGAAGAAAAAAACGACGTCGCCGAGCAAACGAGATTTGTCGGATTTGGACGTCGCGACGTCGGAACATTCCATTCGCTCCACGGCATCATCAACTTTCCTTGATTTCCCCCTGACTTTTCCCCCGACTCGCTTTCCTCTTGGATTTCTAGAGTTTCAGAAGCAATCTGGAGTTTCTACTACTTTCCAGAGTTCAAATCATGAGAAACAAATTCTTCTTTAGCCCGATATTCTCATGAATTCAACTGTGGCAACTCGCGAAGTAGTAGAAACTCAAAATTGTCTCTGAAACTTCGGTGATAGAGTCCGGAAAGTGATCCTTGATTGAATGAATAATTGAATAATCGTAGTTTTCGTCAGTTTAAGAATGAAAATCGAGTTTCTACTACTTTCAGGCTCAAAAAAGGTCTGTAGAAAAACAAACGATGATGAAAAAAACTGAGAAAAACAACTTGGAATCCTGGATTTTAACATTCTTTCAATCATACTTCGTGGTTGTCTCTAGTTTCAGAATGAAAATGGAGTTTCTACTACTTTCAGTCTCTATCAAGGTAGGGAGATTATTAGGCAATGATAAGGAAGAAAATTAGGAAAAACAGCTAAAAATCCTGGATTTTCACTGTCTTTTATTCATTCTTCGTGGTTTTCTTGAGTTTCAGAATGAAAATGGAGTTTCTACTACTTTCAGGCTCATTCAAGGTCTGTAGAATAATGAGCTATGATGTGGTGGAAAATTAGAAAAACCTGCTTGAAAGTCTGGATTTTCACTGTCTCTCACAGATTTGTCTAGCGTTGTTCCGTGGTATTCTTTAGTTTCAGAACGAAAATGGAGTTTCTACTACTTTCAGGCCCACAAAATAATATGTCATTATAAGGAAGTAAATTAAGAAAAAAACAGCTTAGAATTCTAGATTTTTACTTGATCTTTCACTTGTTCGTCTAGCGTTTCTTTAAAAATTTCTTAAGTTTCAGATTAATTGGAGTTTCTACTACCTTCCCTGTTTCGATGAATTAAACCCTGTTATTTTCTTGAAGTTTTGAACTCTCAGTTCAGCTTTTATTGACAGCTTATCATTGATTTCGCTTCACAGATCATTTTTTTTTTAATTTATAGTTGTGCATTTAATTTTCGTCCGAAGTTAATTGGTTGATTTCAGCCCAGTTTAAAATTTCCCGTTGGGGATTTAAATACCACGAATAACAATGGGAGACTTTTTTCGTCTCGAGACCTTTTTTGAATTTCTAATTCGTGCCCCTGATAACAATATAGCAACTGGGAGGGGCGGAGTCTGGATTCTTCCAACTGATTCTGCTCTTCCTTATCATTCGAATTGAGACAAATATTTGAAATAACCTTTATTTGCTCTCCTTTTTCTCTAAATACGTACTATTCCGTAGAAGTGGACCCTTTTTTGCCCTTTCTGGGAACATTTTTAGGGGCCACTATAGGGCTCGTCAAGGACTACTTGGGAAGGACACTAAAGTGGCCACTAAACTTATCTCTATAGTGGACACTTCAGTAGCTTTTCATCCAGTATTCCTTCCAGTAACTCTGATAATTTTGAAAAAAATAGATTCGACCAGTTATGTTGATCCATTGACCCCTAAAGTGGCCACTAAAATTTTTAGTGGTCTAGTAGTAGCACTTAGACCCCTAAAGTGACCATTAATTTTATTCCCTTAAGTGACCACTAATTTAACTACTATGGTGGCCACTAAAACGTCAAAACCCTATAGTAGCCACTAGAAATTTTCCCAGTTGAAATCGATTTGCCGTTCCAAAGCTTGCCTAGGAAGCGAAATCTGTAAGTGACAGCGTTCCAAAGGTGCATGTAACGAGAATTTTTTTATATCTCTAGAGTTTTTTTAAATTTCAAAAAAATGCTTCTTGAATCCTGTAAAATTCTTGTATATATAATTTATTTACTGCTCTATCTATCAAGTTTTTTTGGGTAGAAGAGGTTCCGCGAAATTCAAAATAGCCGTCTATTTTCCCTTTCTTTTGAGTTACAGAGCAAGAAAAAAATTTTTTTGAAAAATAATCGTTTCGTCTTTTTAAATGATATTGCATCTGAATATGAAAAAAAAGGTTGAGAAATTTGGTTTTCTGAGCGATTCCTACAACTAGTCACAGGAAGCCGTTTTCAAATAGTTTTATCAATAACTATTTTTTCACAGATTAGTGCGAACCCCAACGAGTTTACTCCGTTCTACAGTTTAAAAAAAAAGGAAAAAGGCTCAAAAAAATGTTAAAATTTTTTTCTCGCTTTTTCCTTGTGTTCATTTCTGAGAAAATTTTTGGTGGCCACTAAACCCACCTCAACAGTGGCCCCTTCAGTAGTTTTTCATTCAGTATTCCTTCCAGTAACTCTGATAATTTTAAAACAAACAGATTGAAATAGTTATATTGATCCATTGACCCCTAAAGTGATCACTAAAATTTTTAGTGTTCTAGTAGTAGCACTTAGACCCCTAAAGTGGGCACTAATTTTTACCCCCTTTAGTGACCACTTATTTAACTACTATAGGATACTAAAACGTCAAAACCCTGTAGTGGCCACTAAAAATTTTAACAGTCTGTATCCAAAAAACATTGTTGAATGCTTCAGTTCGGCTTTACCATTAAACGCGAACTTCCTTGTCAAAAAATTCCAAAAAAGGGGAGATTTATCAGGAAGAGAGAAATCTGTGAGTGACAGACCGTGCTCTCGACGAGCAGACACAAAACGGGAAAAAAAGAGGGGGGAAGGGCTGGGGCTTGGGAAAATTTCTAATTAAACGGCCTCGTCACGGTGGCTCGCCTGGAATTGCCAACGACGACGACGACCCTAATTTCCAAGCACTTGGCGCCGTTTGTAACGCCGAAACTTGTTTTTGCCCCCCTTCTCCAAACATGGGCAAGAAGAAGAAGACCTCCTCCGTCCTGTATATTCCGATTCCGGTGGTCGTCGGCTCGGAGAAAGGCTCCAGAAGGCCCTCGAAAGCGCCCTCGGATGCCCCGACTTGCACCATTCCCACTATCAATATTGACCGAATTCCCAGCATTGGTGAGTTTTGAAATCGCCTCGATGGATGGGTATTGTGCGCTCTATGGCTAATTCTGTGATTTTTTGAGTTTGGTCGAGTTTTTTCATTATCTTTTGTTGAATTTTCGACAGGAAAATTTCTGAAAATAGCTGGAATATCTTATTTTTCGTGCTTTGTCGGGTTCTACGCATCTTTTTTATGAATTTGGAGCATCAATATGTTTAAAATAGTCACGATAGATGGGTTTTATGCGCTCCATGGCTAATATATAACTTTTTGAATGAAAAAAAGATTTTTTTCACGATTTTTTTGTTCATTATTTGTTAGGGAAAAACTCTGAAAATAGCTGGTTTAACCATATTATTGCGCTCTATAGTTATTTTCGAATTTTTCTATGAATTCGCAGCAATAATATGTTTTAAAACAGCCTTGACAGATGGATTTTGTGCGCTCTAAGGCTAATATATGATTTTTTTGAATGAAAACGAGGTTTGTTTTTTTACGATTTTTTTGTTGATCTTTTGTTACAAAAAAAGATTTAAAAAAGCCGAAATTCACCGAACTTCCGTGATCTATAGATCATGTCAAGTTCGCTCCATGGTTAGTCAGAAATTTTTAGAGTTAAATCGAGACTTTTCGTGATTTTTTGTTGAAACGAAAAAAAAGGCCGAAATTCTACCATCTTTCGTGCTCTATCGATAATGTCAAGTTCTACGTATCTTTCTATGAATGTTGACCGAATTCCGAGAATTGATATGTTGTAAAAAAAAGCCTCGATAGATAGACCTTGTCCGCTCCATGGTTAATCTGTGATTTTTTGAGTTTAGAAAATATTTTTCACTAACGTTCTTGGTCAATGATTTGGGAATTTTCTTGTAGACCCGTTTTTTGCCGATATTAGCCGAAACCCGGAGTTTTTGCGCTCTATCGATAATCCAGAGTTCTACGCATTTTTCTACTTGGACCTCGGTAACGCGACCGGACGTTTCTCAGAAATTCTAGGGATCACTTAAGAATTCTGACGCTACTAAAGTGTCACTAGAAAGGTCCCGAGAAGTCCGATTCGCGTCTGGTTCATAATAAGTTCAAAAATAGCCTTGGTGAATGGATCTTGTGCGCTCCATCGTTAAACTGTGATTTTTCGAGTCTTTTCTCGCGATTTTTCTTGATGTTCAATCAACCTTCTGCGGATCTTCTTTTAAAAACCCCAAATTTTTCGGACTTTTTTTTAATCGTTTTTCGAAGGTTTTTCTCCTTTTTCTTCTCGGCTTCTTGCTCTTTGAAAGTTCGAAAGACTAATTACTCTGTGGATTATGAGCTTTTCTTGTCCCTCCTTTCAGAAATTCTACCAGTTTAGTTGCAAAATTTCGATTTTGGAATGTTCCTTCCATTGAAAACCTTGTGGATTGTTGCTTTTCAACTCTCTGGAGGCTTTTTTCCTTTTCTTCAAAGCTTTGCGATGAAAAATGAGGTTCTTCTTCCTGCTTGGATTCTCCTCCATTCACTATAGTTTCCAAAAAAATTATATTTTTAAACTATAAATTGAATGAAAAAAATAGAAATAACGTTCTCTGGCTCATTTTTCTCTCTTCCTCTTTTTTTCAGTTTGTGAAATTGTTTGGAGGGCCTACCTCACTCAATTTTGTTTTTTTGCACATTTTTGAAGAAATAAAAATTCGATTGGGAACGTCCTCGTTCGTCCTGCTTTCAGGCTAATTTTTGTTTCCATCTTTTTTTATTTATTCTTTTTTTCGGGAATTTGAAGGTTTAGGGTTCATTTATTGGATTATTTTTTTATCATTTTTTTCCTTTTTCATTAGCTTCAAACTGATGAAATTTCTGCAGGAAAAAGCTCGATTTTTCCGGCTAAATAATGATAAAACTTGAAAAAAATAAATACGAAATTCAAGTTTGAAATTAAGATTTGAGCTTCAAAAACTTTCTCCTGGACGTTTTTTATCTATTTTTAGCCCTTGAAACTTCAAAAAGCGCCAAATCCGCCGGATTTTTAAGAAAAAGAGCAAATAAGGAATCATTTTTCAAATCTAATCGGATTTTTTGTCCCTTTTTTCAATTTTCCTCTAGGAATTCATTGTTTTCTATGTTTCTTTATTAATATTCCTTTCTTGATTATAAAGTTTTCCTGGGTCGTGGAAATTTTTGTAGAGCATTTTTCTAGTTTTAACATGTCTAGGAGTGAAATTTGTCGTTTTTTTCAATCCATTTTTTTGGTCAGAATAAAAGCTTTATAATTCAATTTTTGGACAGTTTTGAACTAAAAAAATTTGCACGAAAAACGCTCAGAAATTGCTCAAAAATTGATCCAGTTCTATTCGAAACATAAATAAATACAACAGTTTCAATAAAGTTGATCGAATCCTCTTTCGGTCAAATTTGAGCTCTTATAAATTGATTTCGAACATATTTAAACTGGAAAATTTGTACGAAACGGCCTATAAAATGCTTTGAAATTGATCCAGTCCTATTCAAAAATGAATAATAATCATTTGTTTAGCTTCTTGTTCGCTTTAAAACGCCAAAAAAACTGTCTTTTTCTAGCTTTTTTTATGGTTATTTTTTTCACTTGCAGACTATATAAATTTGATCTCGAAATTTTTTTTTCAAAGCTCAAGCTCAATCTTTAGCCTCGAAACCTCCTGGAAAGCTGGAAAATTCTGAAAAATGGGCCCGATTCCATCAAAAACACCCTTTCGAGTGAGACGAAAGTTGACATTTTGCGCGTAAAATCGTGTGGGATTTTTCTGGTCAGTGATAGATCCGAAAGAGTTGAAAATTCCCCCGGGAAGGCCGCTTTTTTCCAGCGGCAGACGACAAATGGTCACTTGGCCCTTCCCTTTCTCCTACTTTTTCTCGGTTTCAATTGGCTCTTTGGAATCTTTTTTTTTTGTTTTTGGGTACCAACCAATATTTGTACAGCTTTAGAATATTTTTGATAACTTTTAAGAGACTGGCATGTTGTTTTCACTGCCAAAGTCGAAAGTGCGGAAAACGGGTGCGAAAAGGGAGAGACTGCAAAATGGCCGCTGAAAGGGTCCCTTTTTACGGCCTTTATTGAGCCTTTCATTTTTGGTGGGTTAAAAAGGGTCATAAAAGGGCGAAAAAAGGGAAAGGCCGCAAAAAGGGTGAAGAAAGAGTGAGGGTGCAAAAGGGCCCTGAAATTCTCTTCTATTGATAATTTCCGATTTCATTACTGTTGCATATTATGGTTCATACACAGTCCCTTGTAAAAATTATTCCTAATTAAAAAAAAAATTGAATTTCTCAAAAGGGTCCAAAAAGGGTGGATGAAGGCCGATGAAAGGACGCAAAAAGGCAGTAAAAAGGAAACCTTTGCCACCCGTTTAGGAACAATTAATGGAAACAGACGGATCTGTAACGGACGCTCAAAGGGCCCGTGAAGGGTCCTTCCGACTTTGCCTATGTTGAAGGTTTTTCTAAATTCATCGGCAATGTCAGAAAAGGTGGAAAAAAAGGTTCATAAAGGTAGGGACCGCAGGCCAATTTCCAAAGTCAGTGATATAAACATGAAACCTATATGAAAAAGAAAGCTGATGGCAATCGAGAGCTAACTGCGAAAAACAGAAAAGAAAAAAATATGAAAAAAATGAAAAAGTTATAAGCAAAAAAAAGTGGCGAAATCGGGGAACCACTTTTTGTGTAGAAACTTTCGTCAAGGTCGCAGGAAAAGGGGCGTGTTTATAGATGCCGCGCGCTCCTTGCTGTGCGTTAATTCACGCAGGAGACGTTTCGAAAACATATTTATTTGAGTTTTTAGAAGTTTTAAATGAAATATTAGAGTTTTCATATTGAATATTGCTCTTTTTCAATATCAGCCTACTCTTCAAGCACTCACGCTGCTGAAAAGCGAGTTTTGAAGAAGGTTTCAATGCATTTCGTAAAAAAAGAAAATAACCGACAAAATAGACCTCTGCGAAGGACGAACAGCATTAAACCGAATTGAAAATGTAACAGTCTACTAAGAAATTTACTGAAAAATATGTAAATAATCACCAAGTCCTTTTTCAGAGAGTTTTTTAAAAAAAAGGGCGAAAGCGTTTTTACTTTTGATTTTCTACTTCTTTTATTTTTCTCTAAAGTTTGTGCGTCTACATGGAGTGTACGTAGACAATTCTTTAGAATTCTTTACTTGACATTCTGAAAAAATTCAAAAAAAGTTGAGTAACAAGAAATTTAATACTTTTCTCGCTGCTATAATGGATATAATGATATAGGAAAAAAAGATTCCAATTATGAAATGAGTAAAAAAAGCAACTATAAAGCCACAATAAAATGAGAAAAACTTGAATAGAATACATAAATAGTTAAAAAAATCTTCTTCACGCTTTCGAAAAAAATTTCGTGGCCTTCGCGGTGTCTGCAGATTTCCAGCGACGCGCAGTTTTTAAAAAAATAACTTTCGAGCGTTTAAATTAACCATACTTTTCGGGCCATCCTAGGAATTTTTTTATTTTTTGATATGTTGTAGAGAAATGTCTAATGTTTGATATTATAAAATATAAAAACTTGCCCAGAACGCTTTGGGCCGTTTTCAAAGCGTTACGAAAAACCGAAATTTTTAAGCTTTCATATAAACTATATAATTGATGAAAAAAACTTAGTTTTTCTATTTTTTTAAAATTTGCAAACAACTGCAAACAACCGTTTAAAAAAATATAATCAGTAATTATCGATTGCGTTTTTTTCGAAAATAGGGAATTTCGAAAAATCGTGATTTTTCAAATTGCGTTATTTTTTTGAGGCCAACCATAGAATTTTTTTATTTTTTTGCCAGAATATGCGTTTTTAGTTGCTTTATGATATTCAAGAATAAAAAGTTGCCCAGAAACTTTAAAGAAAAAAAACGGGATTTTTATCCGTTTTTCGGCCACAAATGCGTTTTTAAAAACTGTCGTCACACATTCTTATTTCTCATTTTTTTCAGTATTTTTCTTTTTATGTAGGAT